AAGAACTTAGGACACAATTCTGACCGCAAATTCACCCAGAAGGACTTACCTTATAGCCAGGATGTTTGTCGAGTTTGAGAAGGGCATAATAGCCACGAAACTCTTTTTCTGTAGGAACAGTTATTCCTTTCTTCCTGTGATCATCATACATTTGAAACAACTCAACAGATGTCTTGTTCATCTGCTCAATATTCAGGTGTGCATCAAACCCCTCCGAAAAGCCCTCTCCTTTCGTATATTCACATAGTTCATGCATTGCAATGATGTGAAGTCTTATCTGTAACAGGAAAATCAATAGTAAGAACACACATCTAAAACAGAATATTGTTTATCATCCTGTTTAATGGGATATATATAAGATCAGAAGACACAAACCATTTGCTCCAGCAAAGTAATAGCTTCTTGGTTGAAAATATGTTGCATTCTTAGATCCATACGAATAGCTCTCATCCTATCCCATAAGAAATTGTACATGCCAAGAAAGTTTTCATTGTAAGGTCGGTCTAGCAAACTCAGCAAATATTCCATTGTATTTTGCAGGATTGGCATTGGTCGTATCAAAATTGCTTCTCGCTCCGCCGTCCTAGTATACTATTCAAAGGCAGATATATAAGTAGTCATCATGGCGAATGGGAGGTCTAGTATATCTCATCTAAGAAAGAATCTGAAGCTTTAATGATATGAAAAAGGTGAGCTTACTTTCTTCACAGCAAGGGATTTGCTTGTCTGGTTCCTATCTCCATCCACACGCTCATAATGGTCCAAGTCACCCTTCCTCTCACGCTCCCCTCGTTCTGACTCTGGGAAAATGAAGAAAAAGTCCACCATTATATTTGTTCTGCGATTGCATTACTTACTAGAACTAGCCATCATTTATGGACAAAATAAATATCGTTGGCAACACAATTTTTTTGTAATCAGATTATATGAACCAAAGACTATTACACTCAGTTGTCATTTTAATGCATGTCTCAGGCTTATGCTTACCAGGACACATGTCAGGGCATAATCCAATGATAAGAGAGGGCTGCTCCGAGCTTTCATAATCAGGCAAGGCATCTCCCTTCAGGGCATCCCTACTTGATTCAAGTGAATTGAATGTTTGTTTGTTGTCCAGAGGCTTCATAGTTTTATTTACAGGTGATTTAGTAAGTTGAGTATCAACAGGTCGGTCTGCAATAGGCTCCAGTTCACCCTTGAAGCGGGCCAGTCTCTTTGCCCTGGCTTGCTCTTCTCTGTAAGAAATCCACAAAGTTTAGAAAACTTTAAGAACAGGTCCACAGATTAACACAAAGAGTCAATACTGTGTGATTAAAAATTTGTACCCTTCCGTACAATCTTGAGAAGGGAAAGAGTTTCGGTGGATATCCTCTTCAACTGGATATACAGGTGGAGATCTCGTCCTTTTTGTTGCAGGTGAACTGCTTGTCTTACCCGCATTATTGAAAGTATTTACAGAGGAGGGCTGCCCAGGAAATTGAGAATCTGAACTTCTTGAAAGCGTATATGTCTTTGTGCCTGACGTAGGAGGAGATGTCGAAAACCTATCACAGAAACAGCATGCTTAACTAAGAGCAAGCTCAAAGGCACATCCAACCAGATAGAGAAAAGTAGATTTGTTGCAAGAGCATTATGATAAAGCTGCAAGAGAAGTAAGCATGACTTCACAGGCTAGTAGCAGAAAATTATCCATGAAACCATTAGTTTAAGGTGAATACGCTCATAAACCGATTTGCTAAGGATAAAGTTTCTTAGGATTGTAACTCTATTCTGCAATCGTGATTTCTCCTGCCATTCATAAGTACACGTAGGACACAGAGTGGGTGGATAGAAAATAATAAGCTTTACAAAGTACGATGAGTTTCATGCTGTCTACCTTTGAGAGTCATGTTGAGACAATATGGGGTCATCTCTGAGGGGTTTATCAGAAGGTGCTATAGCCGAAGACTTTCTTCTTGTAGCTTCCTGAATTTCAGCTACTTCATGTGCATAGGGGAATGGCGAGTTTCGGGTTTGTTCTTGATGAATCAACCGATTGGGATTGCTCCTCGACCTCACCGGATTATTCTCCGCAGAAGACAAAGAGCGCCTACGAAAACATGAGAAAAGGTTCCAGGACATAAGTTTCAAAAGTCAGTGAGAGGATAGAACAATAATCAGTATAAATATCAAGGAGCAAAAAGACACAGGTATGGTTCAAATTACTATCCATAAAGAGTAAAGAGACCACAATATGTGAAATTTTTATGACCTTTTTAAAAACCAATCGAAACTAACAGCGAGAAGAGAGTGAGAGACGAAAACATTATGACACTGGCAAGAGGATAAAAATCTCACATCCAAGTTTGGCTAGAAGGTGGCTGAAAACCATCTACCAAGTTCCCATTCTCAAAACCTGATACTGGCGATTGATTTCTTCTAGAAAACCCCATAGTCTGATCCGGAAGAATATCTGACCGACTGCAACAAAAATTTGAGGATTTTATAGACTGAAATTAGTTACATCAAAAACCAGGATATCACTAAACACCACGGCCATGTATATGACATCTCATTCCTACCACCTAGGCCATACAACAAACTGATGAAATCTGACAGAGAAGGTACATGATGCAGAACACAGAAGGTGTACAAACTCCCACAAACGGACAAATGTTAAAAATTCAAGGATAAGATAGGGATACAAAACAGACAGAATGTTTATTTCAAAAAGATCCTGCTGGCATAAATGGCATTGATCTAAAGGAAATGGCATAAACGACCTTTTTCTTTTTGAATCTTGTGATCGACCTATCTCAACAGCATCAGTTCCCATTCTGGAAAGAATGTGAGATGTAGCAGGTGGAGACGTGGCTCGACTATGTTCACCATGATCTTTCAAGAAATTCCTTGATCCATCGTGCCCAAATTGAGGATTTAAAGTAGGCCTGTGAGGAAAAACGCAGCAGGTAAATTCAGGTAACTCAGAAAGAACAATCTAGCAGCTTGCTTGTTAAAGGCTATAAGCCAAATCCAGCGATAATGATCTCTTTGGAGCTTCAAAGCCGCTGCCATAGTAAGCCCTTATGTATTAGGCAGAAAAACTTAATGCACTCCGCCACACTCTACTTTCTTCCTACTGCTATAATTTCAATTGCAGAAAACTGAAAGCATTTGAGATGTATGATTAACACTGCCGCATATGACACTCTTCTTAGTCAAAATATTTCACGTAGAATTTTACCTTTGAACTCCAGGAAATTGGTAAGGTCTCACAGAGGGGCTTGGACGTGGAAAAGCTTCTGAACCCCATGCTATTCCATTGAAAGGTTCTGGGCTCCTGAAAAACATAGCATTAAACTGTTCCTATAACTTTCTCGGCATAAAATAAGTGCAACATATAGAAGACTAAAGCAGCATTTTTACAAAAAGAATCAAAACCAAAGAAAATAGAATTTTGGTTTATCCCATCTTCAACTGTTTCGGATCAGACCTTTCCCGAAGATTCTTTACAGGCATATAAGGAGTGAAAAAAAGGAAAAGAGAGCCATAATAGTAAGTTATCTAACCTTTGAATTCCACCAGGTTGGTAAGGTTGTCCTGAGGAGGGTGAGGGATTTTGAAAAGCCAACGGAGATGGTGTTCGATTAATTGGAGGACTACTGCAAGCAAAAAACATAATAATTTAGGCTAGAATCTAAAAGAAAAAGAAAACCAGAGAGTAGAAGGAAAAAATAAGAATTAAATAAGTAACCAACCTAACATCATCATCAGACACATAGAACTGAAAGAAAAAAGGAAAAAAATCAATCCATACAATTAAGAATGTCTAACCTTTGAACCCCACCTGGTCGGTAAGGTTTCCCTATAGAAGGTGGAGGGTTTTGAGAAGCCAAAGGAGGTGGTGCTCGCTGAACTGGAGGACCACTGCAAGCCAAAGTCACGATACACAGGTTGTAATGTAAAGGACATAGAAACTCAGCGTACTTACGGGAAAAAAATCTACAACAAGTAGCACAACAGGCTCGTCCTAAGGAGGCTCAGAAACAACCTAACATACTCGCATAGAAAGCAATCGAAGCTGTAGGGCTAGGTTCATCTAACCTTTGAATTCGACCTGGTCCAAAAGATTGTCCTGCAAAGGCTGAAGGGTTTTGAGAAGCCGGTGGTTGAATTGGAGAATCACTACAAGGAAAATCCAAAACTCGCAGTGTTAGTATTAAAAGAAAGAGTACAATGTAAGAACGAAAAGCAAAAGTAAAGAACCAGTATCTCCTAAAGAAGGTGAAGAAAACCTTACAAATTACATTCTCAATAAGCAACTGAACTTCAAAACAAAGACTGCCTAAGTGATGTAGCACACAATTTCATAGAAATTTCAAGATACTTGTCACATTCTCTTGATCCTAAACACTTCAATACAACGATAGCAGAGATGTAAATTTAACAGCTCGAAAAATCTCGAGCATAATAGATCCACAGCGTGATATCAATCCTAAAAACCTCAAAAACTGGAAGGAAAGTGCGATTGTGGCATAGATATACATCCATAGAGAAATCGAAAAGCACACCTAGTGGGAGCAGAAGCACCGAACGGTGTAAACGGCGATGGCTTAGAGCTCATCGACGGACCTACGTCCTTCCCGAAAGGCCTAAACGCCATTCTCTGCGAAATTTGCTATACTTAATTATCGCTGCTACTCTTCTTCTACCTTCGTTCAATTACGTCGCCGGCTAAAGTCGAAACCGGAGCAAATTGAATTTTCAGTTCCTCTCCGTCCGGCGACGATTATTTTACGTTTAGAATCAACGACGTCGTTCTATTTCCGAATTTTGTATTGGGCCTTTTAAATAAAATGGGCTTCTTATGGGTTTTTGTCAAGGAACGAAGAAGAACGTGCGCATGTTGTCGCCATCTTCCTTAGCCTCCTTGTTTTAGGTAGAACATCAACTTTTCATGACCGTTGACATTTTTTTTTCCCTCTTTCTTTCCGGGAAAAAATAAATAAAAATTATCCTCTAGTTTTCGATCTCGATCATCTGGATCCAAGCAATTACTACGATTTGCTATAATGTCGATGTCTCGGCTCGGATTGTTGTTGTTCGTCGCTATATTCCTCGTCCTACTTCAATCTTCCACTTCTCTGATTAGTTCTCCAAGTTCTATCATCAACCCTTCTAAAGTCAAACAGGTTTCTGCGAAACCCAGGTTTGATTTTCCTCTTTCTCTTGTCTATTAGTGAGAAACGAAGCAAAATCCTCAAGTAAATTTGGAAACTTTGTGTATTGACTGTTGTTTGTTTCTTCAGGGCATTTGTGTATGAAGGTTTTTTGACGGACTTGGAATGTGATCATCTAATCTCTCTTGTGAGTGCGAATTTTCGACATTTGTCTTTGGGTTTGAGCTCAAATTTGGAAACTTTTTGGCTTAAATGTGCTAATTTCAGTATCTAATTTTGGTTTTTTTTTGGGGGAAAAGGCGAAAGAGAATCTGCAGAGATCTGCGGTTGCTGATAACGATAATGGCGAGAGTCAAGTCAGTGACGTTCGTACCAGCTCCGGCACGTTTATCTCCAAAGGAAAGGTGCAATTTTTCTTTTTGCCTCGCTTCCAATTCTCACTTTGCTGATAGACTTGGAACCTTAATTGGCCACAACAGATCTCATTGAATATATTTGATTGGAATTGATCTTGATTCTAATATATGAGTCATTAACTTCAAGAACTCTGAATCTCTGATGTGATTTCTCATACTAATGGATCTGATAAGTCAAACCCCTCAAGATCTGATGGTACAAGAAATTATGTTGAACTGTTCATTAGAGTTTGAGCTACATAGATCAAGTGTACTAAATAAAATTATGTTGATTAGTCGAGATCTTAGTAGATTGGCCCAGAATTGTATTGCTTTGTGGTTGTTGTTTAGTACCACTAAAAATGTTTCAGGGATAGCTAGACATAAATTTACTTCTGTGTATATATGATGATCAATCATTGATGAATGATACTTGATGATCAATAGGAACAGATGACTCAATATGTTTACAATTTCTTAATGTGAAGCTGCCTTTGTTTAATGGCAGGATCCTATTGTTTCCGGTATAGAGGACAAGCTCTCAACATGGACATTCCTCCCAAAAGGTAACTTAAACGATCTCAATGGTTTTTTAATAGTGATCTCTCTGTTTCACAAGGTCAAGTGACAAGGAACCTTAACTCTTGTTGAGTTTCTTGAAAGGTGTTTTCAGTAGATATTATTGTTTCTAAGTTCTTCACTTTGTGGTCACAGAAAACGGGGAAGACCTTCAGGTATTGAGATATGAGCACGGTCAGAAATATGATGCTCACTTTGACTACTTCCACGACAAAGTCAACATCGCCCGTGGTGGACACCGCATAGCAACGGTTCTCTTGTATCTATCTAATGTCACAAAGGGTGGAGAAACGGTTTTTCCCGATGCACAGGTTTGTTGTTTTTCGAGACAAAACCATCAGTTTCCGCTTACATTTCCACAATTGCTAATCTGTATTGGTTCTATACATACATGGACAAATACTGTAGGTCTTTACTTTTTTCTCTATGATGAATATTTCTGTGCAGGAATATTCACGCCGCTCGCTTTCTGAGAACAAAGACGATCTTTCTGATTGTGCAAAGAAAGGAATCGCTGGTGAGCTATAAAAAAGAAGAATGACTAGTTCTTTCCATGTTATCTCTAAGAGTGTTTGTGTTTTTGATATTGGTTGGTAATGTTGTTAGTGAAACCGAAGAAAGGGAATGCTCTGTTGTTCTTCAACCTCCAACAAGACGCAATCCCAGATCCCTTTAGCCTTCACGGAGGTTGTCCAGTGATCGAAGGAGAGAAATGGTCGGCTACAAAGTGGATCCACGTGGACTCATTCGATAAGATATTGACACATGATGGTAACTGTACGGACGTAAACGAGAGCTGTGAGAGATGGGCAGTGCTTGGAGAATGCGGAAAGAACCCAGAGTATATGGTTGGAACTCCAGAGCTCCCTGGAAATTGCAGACATAGCTGTAAAGCTTGTTAAAAGAGTTAACTTTCTCTTTTTCTCTGTACCATTATAAGTTTTTTTTCTTGATTCCTTTTTTTCTGATGAATTGTTGTTAAATGTATCACTGGATTCTTCTGTTTATCGAATGGTTTCTTCGTCTGGTTAAATTGAATATATAAAACGCGGTCAAAGAGAAAATATATGATGGCACAAATGGTAATAAGTGATGTATTATTTGGTTACCCATATCTCACGGGATCATCAAATACAAAAGTGGTCGACTCTGGTAGATCTAGGGTTATGGATTCCAAATTGGAGAACGTGGATGATGATAATTCGATGATGGAGATATCTGAGGAGAATGAATCGAGGAAGCGCAAGGCAGATGATACTTTCCCGGTGGATTCTTCCGATGTTGGCGAGAAAGAAGAACAAGTCGACGACGAAGACATAATAATAAGTGATGAGGAGGAGAAAATGGACGTGTCGAGCCGCGAGGAGGGCCAAGAATGGGACGTGGATAGTTTCGACGTAGGTCACCAATACACAACTAAAAAGAAGGTGGATCCAAACGACGACGAAGCTGTGAAGATGCGTCGATACAGACTTCAGATGTATCAGACCAATGTATGTATTCTTCCATCTCTTATGTATTTCAACATACATATCTACAAGTTGAGAATTTTTGTTTGTGCTTAATTAGGGTTTCAACGTGGATATGGAAAACTATCCAGGGAGAGTGGCCTACCGAGAACTTTGGGCTGTTGATCTTGATGAACCCTTTCGGTCAAGTGGTCTAACAGGGCGTGTCTACATGCAAAACTGTGTTGATTTGGCTATACAAAGATACAACAGAATCAATCAAAAGACCCTCACATGTGAGCATATTGTGAGGGCTATTATCTGTGTAGTCGACGGAATCAAATCCTACATCACCTTCATGGCCAGAGAGACTCCAGATGGAAATCTTGTTGAGTATCAAGCTAAAACTGAGAAAAAGTTCTGGCAAAAACATGCTCACGCCCTCTTTTGCAGGCCAACTCCTATACCAAGAGGTTCTCTAGCTATTTTTGTTACTATAAGTATAAGGTACTCTATAACTTATATAGAATTTTTCTCCAGTTATACAAGTGCCTAAGGACGAAGATTGTGATCCGATTACTGACGGGTCCAGCAGTGACGGGTCCAGCCGCGAAAGCGATCAAGAATGGGACGTGGATAGTTTGGATGATGAATCTGATTACAAGCCCCCAGATATGCTGGTTCCCACCGACGAGGAAATTGAAAAGATGCGTCTATATAGACCTCATATGTATCGGAGCAAGGTTTCTTTTTAGTTTAGCTCTCTTTGATTAGCTTCATGAATTAATCAAGTTAAGGACTGAGATCTTGTTGATTTAGTTAGATATTGAAACTTGTTTTCAAATTTACAATTGTGTTAAGGGTTTCTACGTGGATGGAGAAAGCTACTCTGGGAAAGTGGTCTACTTCTCTCAGGTTGTTCTTGATGAACCCCTTTGGCTTACTGGGATTACAGGCCGTGAATACGTGCAAAGAATGATAGATATTTCTCTGGAAAAATACAATGAAATCAAGGTTTGGTAACTAATTATCTTCTCAACATATATGTGATACACAATTATTTGCATATATTTGATCAACTAGAGTCTTTTTTTGGGGGTAAATCAAATGGTAGGGATCGAGTGTGACATGTGAATCGATTGTGAGGGCTATTCTGACTAGGGTGACCGGATTCAAGATGTACATCACTTTCATGGCTAGAGAGTTTCCGGGTGGAGATCTTGTTGAATATCAAGCTAAGACGGAGAGGAAGGTTTGGCAAAAGAAAACTCATGTCATATTTTGCAGGCCAACTCCAAAATCAAAAGATATTTGATTTATTGTAAAACCTAACAACTAACTTATGTTTCTGATGAGCTTAGGTTAGATAGTAATAACACATGTGATGTTCATTGATACATTAGTATCACGAAGACGATCTTTCTGACTGTGCAAAGAAAGGAATCGCTGGGGTGAGCTGAGCTATAAAAGAATCTTAAGTTTCTTATTTTCCTAAAGTTTTGGATCAATAACACGTGTATTAATTTTAAAATGAAAATTCTTCCTATTGAATAACACTAATTACATTGAAACTTGATTAATTTCAAAATTTCGTTGTGAATTACAAATAAAGTTTGAACTAGGAATTATGTTATACTAGATACGGAAATTTTTTTGTGTTTAGGGTATTAACGTGTGGATAAAGGAAACTAAAACTACCCTGCAAAACCAACCACTGAGTTCTAGCTAGGGTTTAGTGAAACATGGATTCTGAATCAAAGAGCGCGGGAGAAAATTGGATGGGGAGTCCCATGGAGGAGATTCGATCTACCGATTTAAGGAAGCGAAAGGCGGATGATGGTGGCTCCCCGCTGAATGAATTCGAAGATGATGACATGGTGGAGTACGACGAAGAAGAACAAGGTGGTGATGATGGAGAGGAAAGCGATGTGTCTAGCCGTGAGGAGGGCCAAGAATGGGACGTTGATAGTTTCGACGATGGATTCGATTACAGACCCAAACGGAATCTTGATCCCAACGATGAGTTAGGTCAAAAGATGCATCGATATAGATCTCAGATGTACCGGAGCAAGGTTTTTACTTTTCTACTTCAACTTTTGATACAAATTTCATCAATTTACACAACTTTTGATAAATTTTACTTTTTAGCTTAATTTCGATAAAAATTTTGGTCCTTTGATAGTTACAACAAAGTTATTATTATTGTCTTGTTCATCAGGGTTTCGATGTCGATAGAGAAAACTACCCTGGGTTTGTGGTCTACCGACCACTCGTTCCCATTGATCTTGATAAACCATTTACATACATGGGCTGTAAGCACACAGGCGAGCTCACAGGCCGGGCGCTCATGCAGACCATGGTAGATTTGGCTCTGGAAAGATACAACAGAATCAAGGTTGGTTAATCATGCATCTTCTTAGAAGACTTTGTTTGATTCAATATTCCTATAACTGATCCAATAAGAGTACTCTTTTCTGCTAGGGATCTACTGTGACTTGTGAGTATATTGTGAGAGTTGTAGTTTCTAAGGTGTGCGGACTCAAAGCGTACATTACTTTCATGGCTAGAGAGTTTGCGGGTGGAGGTCTGGTGGAGTATCAAGCTAAGACTGAGAAGAGGATATATCAAAGGAAACCTCATGTCATATTTTGCAGGCCAGCTCCAAAACACAAAGGTACTCCATTTTCTGTCTTATGTCTACAAAGATGTGACGTGATGTTCATCTTATGCTGTAACTTGAGCCCCAAGTTACTTATTTTAGTTGAATTTTTAAAGTTTGTGTTTAGGTTATATAGTTTAGGACCCACGCAAGTTTCTCTTTGAAACTTTTGTAGACTTGTTTCTGTGATTTTGAAGAATGGCAGAACATGCAGACCCATTTCCATTGTCTAGGTTTCTTCTCTCTGACCACTGTCGTCGTGTCTTTCTCTAAGGATTTGTAATCATAACGGTTATATTTTGTCTGGTTTGTGAAGATCCCACGGATGATGATTTTGTCTACACGGATTCTTCAAGTGATGAGGAGGATAGTGACGCGTCTAGCCGTGGAAGTGGCCAAGAATGGGACGTGGATAGTTTAGACGACCAACCTGATTACAAAATCCCAAGGGTGCATATTCCTTCCGATGATGAAGTTCAGAAAATGCGCCTATATAGACCTCTGATGATCAAGAGCAAGGTATTTTGTATATGCTACTTTGTTTTAATTTAATTTAGATTCTCAAAGTTATGATTGTGCTCAGGGTTTCAACGTGGATGGAGAATGCTACTCTGGGAGGATGCGCTACTTCACTCCCGTTGATTTTAATAAAGACATAGTGCCTTATGGGATTACAGGCCGTGAGTACATGCAAAACATGGTGGATTTGGCTCTGGAAAGATACAACGAAATCAAGGTTGGTTAATTAATTAATACCTTTATCATCTTTGATTAGACTCCATGTGATACCAATATTTGATCGACAAATTATTTTTGTTGCGTAGGGATCCACTGTGACATGTGAATTTGTTGTGAAGGCTAATATGACTAAAGTGGGCGGGTACAAGTCATACATCACTTTCATGGCTAGAGAGGTTCCATGTGGAGATCTTGTGGAGTATCAAGCTAAAACAGAGAAGAAGTTTTCGCAAAGGAAAGCTCATGTTATCTTTTGCAGGCCAAGTCCAAAATCAAAAGGTACTTGTATATTGGAATTATTATTGTAAACTTTATGTGCTTAGGTGAGATAGTGATTAAGTTCTTATGGTAATTGGTTTGTTTTGATTTCTGAATTGCAGATTGATGTTGCTACCGATCGAGCTTTTATTAGTTGTGATGGGCAAGGAAACTAATTTGAAGAGAGGATATATAGGAAAAAACTATGTATATATATACATATAGGACCATGTACATGGTCAATATTCATCGCTCTGTTAAAATATTGACTTGGCCTTAAAAAAACAGAGCTCAATACCATATTCGTCGCTCTGTTAAAAATCCGTAACTTTCATTGGATTCGTTTTAGGTTTGCGGAGATACGAGTTTTTAAAACAGAGCGCAATCCCATATTCATGAACCTTGTTTGCATTTTACAGTAACCAAGCTGTGTACTTGAGAGTCAATTGCTCAAGTAACCAATATCGTTTTCTCGGGAGAGTTGGACACTCTTCGTAACTAAGGAATTAAGGATCCTGTTTTAAGATAATTAAGAAACATGACATGATTTTAAAGGTCTTCCATTACCAGAACAAGTAAAGAAGCAGCAATGGAAGAGTGATTAGAGTAAAGCTCAAGACTCAGAATGAACATTTGCTTATTAGGAGACAGATAAACTTAATATCTCATTTCAACGGGCACACTTTCTCGAAGGCTTCTTGCTCTTTCCGACACAAATCAAACTCGTTGGTGTAGTAATACATGCATCCAACGTAAGCATCCATCTCCTTGGGGCATCTCTGGTGAAGATCCTTGAGCCTGCAATATAATTCATTTCACCAGTTTTTAGAACAGACTAGTCAACAACTGCAAACCTCTCAACTTCAGATTGTTATGAACAATGCATCATCTTCCGCAAAGTTAGTGAATTCTCAAGATGTCGATCACTATATCACTTACTACACAAGAGTCAAACAACTACTTCCTAGATATTATAACATATGGCTAGTTTTGAAGGCTTTTTGGGTTCAGTTTTAATCTACGGGAACAAAGGATCCTACAAACACAAGTGTGCCATGAATAGCTTTGAACTAGGCCAAATATTTGATCACAATCCATAGTGTACAAAAGACTACTCAAATTCTAGAAATGTTCATAACTCAATGAACTTTCGGTGTTCCAATTCGAAATCTCATTGCCAAAAATATGCACAGCTTTAGTTTATTACGTTCATGGACTTTAGAAAACAGTGTAATCCACATCAAAACAAGTCTACAGATTCTTCATTTCTTAAACTATATCATCAGAATCTCTAAATCTACAATGTGGCGTTATACACAATCTTCATCAAGTTTTAACAGAACGAGCCCAAAAAATGGATTATGCGACTAAGATCAGCTAAATTAAGAACTTGTATAGAAATTGAAACGAGAATGAGGTAGAAGAAACGTACAGGCCAAGAACACAGCGAGTGACGTCACGTCCTTTCTCGAGGCATTTCTCTGGATTAGGATCATTCTTCTTGCATTTCAGGAACGCCATGTTTTCCGGCATACATCTGATTCCTATATGCTTCGCCGAAGCTGTCAAAACCGCCGACGTAGGGATCGGATTCCCCGTTCCGTCCACCGCCGCATTCGCCTCCATAGCTCAAGATTTTTTTCCAAATCCCTAAAATCTTATATGATCCAATCCGATCGCGAATCTGAAAAATCAATTGAATCCACAAGTAAATTGAGAATATAAGTTTCGAAATCTAAACGAAAATTGCAAACATTTTCTCACATTTTCTGCAGATGACTCGAGTCTTCTTCCTCACTGAGAGAACTCTAAAGCAATGAAGAACAACAAAAGCAAATTGGCTCTCGTCAATTAAACGCTGCGTTTTGAAGATGTCGCTCTGATGGGCTGATATTGGGCTCAAGTTAAAAGCCCATTTGGTTTAATTAAAAACCCAATTTCTCGTTATAGGGTTTATCACCAGTCATCTTCGTCGGCGTCGGCGAAACCAATTTTCGGACTCCGTCGAATTCGATTTTACAGGTACGCTATAATCATTCTAGCTTCTTCGATTCTGACTAATCTCGATCTGTTTCGAGCTCATTTTTCATTTCTTTAAAAGGGTTCTTAGCTTTAATCGTGTTCGTCTTGTTTTAATTTGTGTTGGAACTGAGATTTCGTTGCTGGATTATAGGTTTTAGATCTGTTTTCCGCTTGATATTCTAATCTCTAGGTTCACAGATTTCAAAGAAAAGTCATTGTCGCATATGATTTAGAAACAAATCCATTTCTAAAGTTTGAACATTTTCGAATTATAGCTTAAAAAAATGGAACCTTTATACGTTTTGTTCCCTCTGTTTCATCAAATGCAATCTCTGTAATGAAAACAATTGTAATGTGACGACATTCTCGTACTTGTGTGTTTTGAAGTGATAAAAGATATGGGTGACAAGAGGAAGAAGACGTTCATGTTCATCCGTCTAGTCTCAGCAGCTGGAACTGGATTCTTCTATGTCAAGAGGAAGAGTACCAAGGGACTTCTTGAGAAGCTCGAGTTCCGTAAGTACGATCCTCGAGTTAATCGCCATGTCCTCTTTACAGAGCAGAAAATGAAGTGATGAAACAAAAAAGGCTTGCTTTTGCCTGTTATGTGCGATCAAACTTATTTCATTATGTAATGAGTTACCTTCATCAACCAAAGCAAATAACTTTTCAATTTAGTGTTCTATCGAAACTTGTTTGTAGGATTCTCTAAAACTTAAGTGCAGTTTGATTGTTGTGTGATCAATTTCGACACTGTTCTTGAATCACTCGTGTGTTCAATCTAATCTAGATACTTGAAACCGATCACAAGCTTTATGGATCAACAAGCAATATGTACAGAGCACGATAGATCGTATGAGTTCCTTTCCCGGTGAGCTAATTCAATCACTCTTATGGTTTGCCTAAAAGAAGAACCAAACAAAAGCCTAACAATTGGAGATCTGTCTTTTTCCACAAATTTTGACGAAGCCTAATACTTAACCATCTCAATTGTTTGGTCTTTTCCAGGAAAGCTAAAAAGTGGCTCTACTTAGATAGCCTAAATACATAACCGGCCTTGTTCCTAATCGACCCACCATATTTATGTAAAGCATGACTTTGAGTTGAGATGAGTAAGCCAAATCTTGGATATCAAATCGAATTTTTATTCCATTTAAGAAGATTCAATGAACACACACTTCTCTTGGGTTGGTAGTTATATAATGATGTTTTTGAAATATGATACTTTGACCTAGGCCTGGGCGTTCGGATATTCGGGTCGGGTTCGGGTCGGGTTTTTCGGGTTCGGATTTTTCGGATTTAGAAAACTAAGACCCGTTCGGGTATTTTAAAACTTCGGGTTCGGATCGGGTTCGGGTCGGGTATTTCGGGTTCGGATTCGGGTTTACCCGAAGTATCCAAATATTTAAAAATTTGTATCTGATTCTATGAAAAGTATTGAAAATACTCAGAAAATCTATAAATTTTAAGTATTGTATACCCTAATCTAACCAAAAGTAGCTAAAACACCCGAAAATATCTTAGCATCCGAATAATTTAGACACTTAGACTATTACAAGTATAAATATTATTAATATATTATAGCTATGTATTTATATTTCGGATATGTTCGGGTACTTGTTCGGGTTCGAGTTCGGGTCGGGTTCGGGTTCGGGTTTTTGGGTTGTGAAGTTTAGAACCCGTTCGGGTATTTTAAAACTTCGGGTTCGGGTTCGGGTCAAAGTTTGACCAGTGTCTACTTTCCCATAGTGTTTGGTAATTGATAGTGATAGGAGTAGGACACGAATGTTCCCTCCTACGAATTCCACCATACTAACAAAGATTCATTCAAAACAGTCAATATTATGGTTGAACTAATTTACTTGTCTAACACATTAATTTGAGTGTATAATGACTAAACACTAAGGTTTGATGGTATAAGTCAAGTCATAAATTACCAATATCTTTTGCTTTAGCGATAAAACGAGAGTTCAAATGTCCAATAGTAATATTGAATTAACTAGTTGAAGATCATGAATTTACAGAAGAAGAAAAAACTCCAATTAGAACTTTCTACCATGCATGAGACCCTATATAGAAAGGTGAAAGTCACTGTATCTAAAACAAAAAGTTAAATTGGGATTATTATTTATCAGTTTTATAGATATGGCTTATGAATCTTGCTAGACTTATTATATAGATAGGTTCGAAAAGATTGGTCACAAGTTATCTCACACCTCCCAGTTGACTATCCTAATTTATGGATTGATTGATTAGTGGTAAAAGATGACATGTTATACAATTTAGGGGAATTTATTATTATCTTATAAGTTTATTTTGATCAGAAAAAACAAATCAATCGATTCAACCAAATGGAAGAAACCGTGAAGTCACAACCACTAGATTAGAGTTTAACATACCCTTGTATTTCATAGGAAACGTGCAATAATCGATACAAGAATTAAAATGACTAATTTATTAATTGCTAATTTAAATTTTTATTGCATCAAGAACCGACTTTCAACTATGAGTTTGATCCATCTTCTACCTTGGTTAAATATAATGGCTTTTTCACTCATGCAACTTAATGACATTTTATGTCTGATTTTTCATACATTTGTTTAATTAATTTATGTTCCTTACTTACTTCTTAGCATCTCCAAAAATAACAAGTGTTATCATGATCATATATATTGTTCTAGACCTAATTAATTTCATGTATACATAATGTTTGCGCTGATCCTCGTCTAAAAAGTTAAATATTTGTTTCTGGTGTGTCCATAGATGTTAAAACATATATCAAGATAATAGTGGGGATATATATATTAATATATACATGTCTTGTTACGTCTTACATTACATGTTGCAAAAGTAACATATCCAACATGAGCTATAAGTTCTCCTGAACATCTTGTGGATTCTACTACGATGGTGATGACTATCGAGACAAGCTCTTTTGGGAGATGTGCATCCCATTTCACTTCCTTTAGTCGTGTTTGTCATTATAAACACGTAAAAACATATATAAGATATATTAAAATCGTTAGAATACGCGCTACTGAAACAAACGGCTACGAAATTTTCAGATAAAAAAAAACATAAATTGATGTTATACGTAAAAGATCAGGATGTTGTTGATTTATAAAATTTGTCCTATATAAAAGTGGTTCAATATTGCGGAATCAAAATTTTGATTAAGTGATACTTATAATTTTGTTTAAGAGATTCTATAGGGTTTGCCAAAAATTTTGGTAACAAATGTTTTTAATGCGCTCTTGAATAATAACATATGAATGTTTGAATATGAGTGATGTGACAAACAACAATATAAACACAAACCACCTAATTAACAATATCATTAACTTAAATATATACTCTTATCTCTACATACATATATCATTACCAGGTAATATACAATATCTACAGAACCCACCAAACTACATAATGAATGTCTTTGAAATGGTATAATTATAGCACTTTGGTGGTATATTACGTGGTAGATAAGAGTAGTTACGAAAAAATCTGGTCAGGAATTAAACACGCGATTATTTGAAGATCATCGTGTATTTGTTAAGTATATATAAAGCCATTACAAAGTTCATCAACTTAAAACTTTAAAGCGTTTTTTATTTTTTTCCTTTCAAAAGTAGCTTTTTCTTCTTACTTTTAGGTATTTTAAGAAAGGTGCACTTCCTTTAAAATCCTTTTTTCTTTTTGTGGTAAAATTTTAAATCCGAATACATAAAACTTACCAACATCACATTTAGTTAGAAAAAGAGAACTTAATTCAATGAGTAAGAACTAAGAAGTAAGGGAGAATGATTAATTTCCAAGAAAGTGACGGCAATCGACAAGAACATGAGGGGGTCGAAACTCGTAACGTTGAATTTTCATCGTCACCACATGATCGTCCAAAATCAACGACAAGAATATGATTCGTATTTTTTCTTTGTCGATTTTTATACAATTAAATTGGATTATGGGAAATCAAAGAACATTATTAAATAAATGAATGAAGACAAAAGTAAAGAAGAGTAATAAATGAGTGGAGTGACAACGTACGTATTTTATTTAAATAAGTGGATAAAAAAAGTAACAATGTCATTGTCAGTCGTGGATTCAGCTTAAATTTAATGAATATAAAAAAAAAAAAGAAACCACAATTATTTCTGCATACTAGTAATATAGATTTGCTTCTTTCTCTCTCAGAATTTTTGTCGAGCGGATTTGATTTCATATTGATACATAGTTTTATTAAATAATCTGGTTTAATTTGGTTAGATGAAGATGCAAGATTCGGCAGCTCAACAACCGGAAATTGCTATAATCGTGGGAGATTCTTCTTCTTCTCTTCATTCTTCTTCTTCTTCTCAGGTACATACATATTCCAAAAATCTGACCTTTTTGTCCCCTGCCAATTCGTTTTTTTTTTCTGGGTTTGTTGATAGATAACAAGGTAAATCTGAAATCTTTTCCTCATTAGCATGTGTTTAAATTACAACTTGGGTATCTGAAGAATCTCTATAAAAACGTATCTAGGTTTTTTCTTCTTTTGAATAATTGATATAAGGTTTTGATGATCTATGAAATTACCTGTGAAAGTCTAGGCCTTTATATTGATATACGTTATCTTTTGGCTCCTTTCTCTTCCTTTGTTCATATGGAATCTGGATCACTTGGGATTGTTTTATTTATACATAGAAGAATTATGTTTTCATCTCAAGGATTAGCTTTTAGCAAATATAAAGTTGAATTGAAAATGCTGGATTTGTCTTTAAATGGTTTAAGCATTTTTCCTTTTTTGGCCTGAACTTTGACATGTATGACTTATAGGGTGATAATCAGCAGGTAAAAGAAAAATCTACTGAAGATGTGCCAAGCTCTCAATCTATCGAAACCCACTTGGATCTTTCAATACAAATACCTCTCAGACCAATTCCATTCGGTAACGGCCGTAACCCAAAGAGTTCATTGAAGTCCACTAGTTCATTCAAAAGTGGCAGTACATCCTCACCAAGAGGAATCTTGCGCAATTTAAGCTTGAAAAAGAAAGTTATTTCTCAACCTGAAAGCGAGAGAAGCTCCCTACTATCTCCCGGTCTCATGGAAACCGCTAAAAAGCCCAATGCTACAACTTCGCCTTATTGGAAAAGATGCTTATCGCTTCCTAATAGACATGCTGCAAAACTGTCTCCGGTGGTATCTACACAAGTTTCAGCTGGGGTGCCTGGTGAGCCGCCTAACGTGAGTTATTGCTATCTTACAATATACTCCTTCCTTGCTCAATATATAGCTACCAAAAATAGAAGTAAAGATTTAATTTTGTTACAGAAAGATTATCCAAGGTCCTTGTCCATGCCCGGACGAAACAAAGTGATTGTGCGATCCATATCTTTTGACAACCACAAAGCCCGTGTTTCCAGTGAAACTAGTGCAGGTACATATTTCTAATACATGTGAGTATTTTCTCCCTAGTTATCATTTCAAAGTTTAGTTTAGGCAGTCACTTGGACATGCTAGTTCTTCTTGGATCAAAAGATAGAGACTCGTGGGAAGACTTGAGGTTTGGATAAATGATACGAGGAACACATTGGTTCATGTGCAGTGTTTTTACTTTTTAGTGTAGGGAATATCAACTTTTATTAAGGATTTGCATATTCATATGGTTGATTTCAACACTTTTATATTTTTGAGAATTGAATGCAATTAGAACTTGTTTCATGTAGCATACTGATTTGTGATCTGTGTTTCCTTTCTCTCTTGTATTTGCTGGTTCCTCCTCCTTTAGCAGATCAAATCTCTTCCGTTCCTCCTGAAGAAACTGATGAAGAAATTCCCGAAGAAGAAGCCGTGTGCAGGATCTGTCTAGATGTGTGCGAAGAGGGCAATACTTTGAAAATGGAGTGCAGCTGCAAAGGTGATCTCAGACTTGTTCATGAAGCGTGTGCCATGAAATGGTTTAGTACAAAGGGAACAAGAACCTGTGACGTCTGTAGACAAGAAGTAAAGAACTTACCAGTTACATTGGTTCGTGTGCCCACAAGTAATCAACCAAACAACAGACGTGATCGCAGTCAACCAAATATGCCGTCACAAACCGTAAGGTAATTTCAAAATTCTTCTTTCTTTCACCATTTATGGAAATAAAACAGCTAATCACTGAATGGTTTGGTGCAGTGCTTGGCAAGAGTTTGTGGTGCTAGTTCTAATCAGCACAGTCTGCTACTTCTTCTTCCTCGAGCAATTACTGGTAGCCACTGATACAAAATATATGTTTGGATTGATACTTTGTTGCAAACGGCATTGACAAATGTTTTTTTTTTGTAGATTCGTGACTTGAACAAGCAAGCTATTTACATCGCGGCGCCATTTTCACTTACGTTAGGCCTCTTAGCATCCATTTTTGCCATTGTCCTCGGTACACAGAACCACTCTGCCTCAGAAACTCTTAGTCTATCTCTTTCCTTTGTTTATCAACTAAATTTTTAAACTTTTTGCGCTATAATCTGACTCTGCAGCTATCAGAGAATACATATGGACATACGCAGCACTCGAGTTTGCGCTTGTGGGCATGTTGGTTCATATATTATATGCTACAGTAAGAGCGATACTCTCTCACTTATCGGGTTTCCTCATTTCATTACTGATAAATGGAAATCAATACATTTTCCCAATCTCTCTATTTCAGGTTAGACTATCGGCGACCTATTCTATACTTTTTGCAGGGATTCTTGGTTTTGGGATAGCTGTGTGCCTAAACTCGTTGTACCTTCATTATTTCGCTTGGCGTGTACGCATTGCAGAAAATACTAGTCCTGTATGAAATCTGTTTTCCTTGGTTTCTCTGTTCTTCCTTTGAGTTTGTATTATGGAAGAAGAAGTTGTTAGTGAAGAGATTCATCAGATCCAGCAGTTACCTGTAAAATGTAAATATGTACACACTCTTCTTCGAACATGTTACTGAAGTTTCTTTTTGTACCCCTACCTGTTGTTTGCCGATGATGATTTGTGAAAGAGAAGATATTCGTGTATCAGGTGATAAGAGTAATGTATGTGATCTACTTTCCGTTTTTCTTTCATCAACTATAGCATAGGTATTACAACGGCCACTTGGTGTGACTGTGAGATTGTAAAAAAAAAAACAGATATAGTTAGAATGGGGCATTCCGAGAATCGAACTCGGGACCTCTCGCACCCAAAGCGAGAATCATACCACTAGACCAAATGCCCTCATGTTTAGACATAAAGAATAACTAAATTAGATAGTCACTTTATGTATGTAACAAAAACACAAAGAAGAAGTCCATTACTTACGTTAGTGACCTGAGGTTAAACAGAAATCGAAACTGATACTATTTTACAAGTGAAAAATGGATGGTACAAGCACAACATGGCCAAAAAGGGTTTTCACCACTTGATTCAACAGTTTCTTAGCCTAGCAACAATGAAGTATTGAGACAAATACTGGTTTAGTTTCAAGTCTGAGTGAACCTAAAAAGAAAAGAAACGCAAGAGCTAGACATATAACAAAAAAAATCCAACCAGTATCATGACTCGAGTATGTCACAAGACAACAGAGAGGGATCGAGCTTAACGAAGCCTCTGAGGAGCTTTGGTTTCTCTTGTCTGTAAACCTGTACGCCTTAACAAAATAAACGAGCCCCAAGAACTTTGATTTGAGCAAGTCATGGACACAACAGAGCCTCTGACTGAGATAATATCAAGAGGCAGATCCTGAAGGTGGAGATTGATGGTCTCGCTCTTGAGCTGCTTCTTCTCCTGATAGAATTTGAGAGACAGAGACTGGTAAAGCAGCTGGGTCAAGCTCATACCAACCCTTGGTTATGCCTCTTCCTTCTGTTCCTGTTAATCTGAATGACGGAATGCTATGTGAGAATCTACAGAATTCATGAGGTGGAATCTCACAAGTGTTTGACTCATCCTTCGGCATCGGACAGAAAACACAGTTAAAGCCTTTCACTTTAGACAAGAACCCAACTGATACCGTGGCTCCCTCTGCATGATCTGACAGGATCTCAACAAATTCATACTCGTACTTAATAGGAGAAACTGAGTCAGCGGAGCAGTTGATGTCCCAGTTCTTGAAAAGGGCCCATGTTTCTCCTTTCTTTGGGAATACCGTAAACTTGCGACCCCTGATTCTTGTTGTGCTGTAGACCAAACGAGAGAAAATGGAACACTCATTCGTCTCCTCCATATTCCCAACTTTAAACTTACCAACAGAGACGGGCAAATTTGGTGTTTCATTCTCTTGATCTTGATCTACCTCTAACCATACGTACTTAAGCATGAAATCCGGAGTTGTAACTTTTCTTATGAGAGCATAAAATCTAGGCATCCCCTCTTCTTCATCATACACAGCCCAGATCTGGCCAGCTTGAAAACAGCTTTTTTCCCTCAACTTATCGAATTCATTGAAATCAGGATCATCATAGTTGATCAAATTTGGTTTTTCTGCACTCCCTGAACTTAAATCTTCCTCTGAATCACTCGCACCAGAAGGGGTTTCCACCTGGTCAACTTTTATCTTCCCCTTCATGTCTATGCTTTCAGTAGAGCTATGATCCTCATTTGTCTGCTTTTCCTCCTTTGTCTCTTCTTCCCTTTCAGTATCTATGTTTTTTCCGGACCCTTTCCCATTGTGGTTGACTAAGTCTACATCATCATCGCTCAAATTCTCATTATAGGAAACCTTCTGCTTGCTACGGACTGACCTCCGAGGCTGCTCTCCTCCATTGGCCCCCAAATCTTGTGCTGCCATAGTCACATCTTCTGACTCACTGCTACTTTCACTGTCAGAGCTTTCACTACATTCAACCATATTCTTTCTCTTCCTCTTCCCATTGATTTTTGCAGTTGAACCCGGCATAGGGAAACTCGCCTTGCTAGAGGAAACAGTAGGAGGATTTTCTGGACGCTTGTGTGGTTCACTGCAAGCCCTTTGGTCTGGAAATTTGCTCTGTTGAGGGAAGGAATAAGTAGTCTGACATGGCCCTTTCGCCGGTGGTGCACTCTGCAAAGGTTCTTCAAAAGCACTGAACCGTTTACTACAAGGCCGACAAGTGACTTCCTTGTTGACATGTGCCCGTTGATATTCATACCTCGTCCGGCAGTATGGACAAGTGGTCCAAAAGGTTGTAGGGTGACTGAAAGCAGCTGGTTGGGCTTGAGCTTTCTGGAAAGGATGCCTGTTTTCAGGTCTCAATTCGGTGAAGATGTTCCTCGTATTGACGCTTGCCCGAAAAACAGGTTGTGTGTGATAATTCGGCATCTGTTGGGTTTTATATGGCGGTGCAGCTGCAGGCATTCTCAAACTTTTGCGTTTAATGTCATGAAGCGTCCTTTTCTCTCTGTCCAAAAGAATCCTCTGGGCTTCACCAATCAATTTAAAAGCAGATTCAGCACCCGGGAGCTTATTTTTATCAGGGTGGAGAAGAAGAGCAAGCCTCTTGTACTGTTTCTTGATGGTAATATCATTAGCGATCTGCTCAACCTGAAGTATACCGTACCAATCCATCTCAGTTCCGAACAGCTTCTCTGTTGCAGCACAGTGAACATCACACACCATTATCATACGAGATATGTTCTCCATGCTGGAATCCATTTTTTGAGCCTTCAATGCAAGCTTACGAGCAGCAGTAAAGTCAGTCTTTTTCATCAAACCCTCCGCTAGATCTTTGGCTCTAAGAGCCTCATCTCTGTTGATACTCATTATCAATCCAGCACAAGTATCATAGAAACCCCAAGCCGAGAAAGTAGTATAAATGACCTTGTCCAATTCCACCTCTGCTCTGATCCAGCTACAAAAAGACAAAAAAAAATTCTTTCAATTAGTGACTACTACAACTCTAAATTCAAGGATAATTGCTAAGGCAAGATATGATGCACATTAATGAACCACTTGTATACATGTAGAATTATAGAAAAAACCACATACCCAGGTTAAAAGGTATAACCTTTGGAGCCTAATTAGAACGTAATAAGAACAAACATTCCTATCGTGACATTCCAGGACTGAGAAAACAAAAACAAAAATTGAAAATTTCTCGAAACCCAAAAACCCTAGAAATGTGTCTACGTCCTCTGCAAATACCATTTAAGTCAGATGTAATTAAAGCAAAGGAGAATGAAAACAGAAATTAAGGAGCCCAACAAAACAAATAAGTACAGAACTCATCGGAGAATCAAAATTCGAACAGCTGAGAGAATTCCGGCGGAGAATCGTGGAGCGGATGAAACAGAGGAGAAGGAGGATTCTCTAATTTAAATTTAAAAGCTTTATACGATCTGACGAATAATGAATTTGGAGGTAACTCAATGGAGAGTGAGAGAAATTAGAGAAACTCACCGGAGGGAATTAACCCGAACGGCGGAGAGGAAGGAGTCCGACTATATAAAAGTTCACGACGTCTGTGATGTGAAACTTAAAGCCATCTAACTTTTTTTATGCATTTGGTTTTGGTTTAAGTAAATTTGATTAACTTTGGGGTTGATTAGAAAAGATGACGTATTTTAAAGTAATTGCATAACAACCCTTCAATTTTAGTTAGAATTAAGACACCGAAATTACACTCAACATTATTCTAAACGAAAACAGAATCTGAAATTTTCCAAATTGAAAATCAGATCTGAATCATTTTTTATTCTTTGTTAGTTGAGATTTCGAATCAATAATGGAAACTGAAAGAAAAGAAAAGAAAAAAAAAATAGAGAAGCTTACTTTGGTGAGAACTGAGAAGACGATGAGGCGGTGGAGAGAAATGTGAGCTGCCGGGAAAAGAAAACAGAAACTATACCAAGTCTTCCTTTTGTTAGATTTTATAATCCATTTTCAATTTCGCGGCTTAAATTGTAATTCCTCTATTTGCCAATTTGCTTTGGCGGGAAACAATTCAATCGTGCGAAATTGAAATCTCGAAATCCGAAGCGTTTTCTTTTGCTCCGGGAAAGAAAAAAATACCAATTTTCCAAAATTTCAATTTTGAGTTATCAAATCAAGTTTTACTACAGAACTCCAGTCTTTAACACCAATTCAAAGTTGATGTTGTTCATATAGATTCATAAAATCAAATGAACTTAAAATATGAATGTTAGGCTTAATAGTTTATATATATAAATACAAAGAGAGAGAATCAGCTTATGGCCTCAAAAAGGACATTCTCGGAACATACAAATGGCATTCTAAAGCTTTATTGAATCGACGACTTTTCATGGAAGTAGGACATACACACACACACACTTAAGCTATGTCTCAGTACTTTGACATTATTTGCCAGTATAGTTCCTTTGGAGCTGCACAACAATAGACCATTATTAAGTCAGCTTCTTTTGGTTAAATTTTAATACAAGACATGGGTTTTGTTTGGTATAAGTGTCACTTACCGGGTAAACCGGTGAAAATCTCAAACTGCTCATAAGCCTGCCTGACAAACATCTCTGAGCCTGAGACAGTTATGGCTCCACTTTCTTCTGCTTCCCGCAACAGTCGTGTGATTCTCGGAGTATATACCGCATCAAAGACCAGTGCGTAGTGCTTCAATGCATGCTGGGGAAACAAAGACAAGCTAGCTTACTAATTTGTCTTATAGATTTTAAGATTTCAACAAAGTTTGCATGCGATAAGCTGGCTTTTGTTTTTCCAATAACAGAAAAGGATAGAACAGTTTCCTTCATTACCCACAGAAAGCAAAAGGAAGAGTTGTTACAAAGAGAGCTTACCTTAGAAATTGGAGTCTCGTCAACATTTGGTTGCATACCCATAGATGTGGTGTTGGCCAAAACCATGCCATCTTCTGGGTGAAAGTTATCTAAATCTGTGAGAGATAACGCTCTCCCTCCGATTGCTTCCGCGAGTTCTAGTGCTCGTTCTTTAGAAACACAACATCAGGAACAAAACAAATCATATCGTCAGTTACTACCGCCGACATGGCAACCAAACAGAGATGAAGAGTACCAATTTTAGGGCATGAATTTTACCGTAAGTTCTATTAGCAATTACAACTTTGGCCCCTTTTTCTTTTGCACCATAAGCAAGTGCCTTGCCAGCTCCACCAGCACCAATAACCACCACTGTTTTACCGGCTAATGGCGAAGAAGAAGAAGGTCCACTGCTTGGATCACCTGATCCTGAAAAAAAAAAACAAAGGAAAAGACTCAATGACATATCCGAAACTTCTCCACAAGGAGCAAAAACGGATGAAAGCTATGAACATAGAACTTACTTCGTAGGCCATCCTCAATAGCAGATATGGAACCAATACAATCTGTGTTATAACCCAACAACTTCCCGTCGCTTTTTCTCCTTAGTATAGTGTTCACAGCTCCTATAGACTGTATGATATTACAGTAAACATTCAGGGTGACGCAGGATGGTGATTTATTCTATGTGATAGTGTCAGTGATTGGGGTTACTATCAATATTATCTGGTGTTCATTAGCAAATCATACCTTTGCCAATGGATCAACCTCATCACAACATTGCAATGCAGCTTCTTTGTGGGGAATTGTACAGCTGCAAGTAAAACAGATTTACATCATTCACCCAAAAATTCTTCTATGCCCAGTGAACCTTAACTCGTAAACAAATAAAATCTGGACGATTCTGTTCATTACTCTGGAGAAAAACATGTTTGTCAGCGTGATAGCATACCTGAATCCAGCGAAATCAGAGGATGAGTATGCTTGAAGAAAGCTTGCAAGATTATCAACTAACAGGTGAACATATACTCCATTAAAATCAACTGATTTGAAAGCTTGATTGTGAACGATAGGTGATTTGCTGTGACTGACAGGCTTGCCAATAATTCCATACACCTTTGTGTCAGGACCAATTCTTCTAAAGTTGTAAAGATCCAACAGATCCTTGATCGTTGGTTGACCTGGCGCAGAAACTTTACCAGAATCTAAGGTGCCAAAGGTCAAATAACCACCAAATTTGGAACAAAGAATCCGAGACATTAGACCTCTCTCACCCATCACAAGTCCAATTGTGGGAACCTGAAATTTGAGTGAAAAGTTCAGAAGATGACAGCAGGGAATCACAATCAGAGATCAGCACACAATTGATTTAACTTCATGCTAGTGCGCACTTACTTGAGCATTTGAGGTTATATGGAACATGCGAGCAACGTCTGCAATGTCCACAGCAGTAGTAGCAATCTTCACTATGTCGGCTCCAGTCTGTCGTATTCTTGCAACAAGGTCATCGAGATCCTCAACAGAAGGGGTATTCTGATAGTTGTGCGATGAAACAATCACTCTGAAATTTTCAGGCTTCTTTCCGTCAATAGATTTGATGAACTCACCTGCAACCTGAACATAAAAATATGAAGTAGGAGAAACTAGTTAGCATCAAAACACCTTCTGAATACCAAAATTCTTCATTTATTACGATGGTCACCTGAAGTTCAACATCAATGTAATCAGCTCCCAACTCCATGGCCAGACGAAGCACATCCTGTCTCTCGTTTTCATCACCTTCATATTGACCACCTTCCCATTTTGGTCTAGAGAGCAGACAGCAAACAAACAATAACATTACTCATACTGCAGCATACAAGAAGTAGCTCGTAACTAATTGAAAGCTCGACACAAGAAGGCACAAAAAGTTCCATATCAAACATTTAAAAAGTCTCAAGCTTGAAAACACAAACCTGTAGGTGAATAGAGTGGGCAGAGGAGATTTCTTAATAATGGTTTTGAGATCCTCAAGAGGGGTGAAATCCTTAAGCCAATCTAATCGAATTTCAACCAAGTCAGCACCCAATTCATGGGCTTTGAACGTTTCAATCACCATCTTGTCAATTGAATCCGCCATCACTGGAGCACAGATCAAGCTCGGATTCTTCACAATATCTTGACTTCCAATCTCCATTTCCGTGGAATTTGAAGCCACCTAGAAATCACAACATTCCACAATCCATTAGCTTCTTAGTTTAAAAATCCAACTACTACTCAGAACTAAACAAAAATACTGAACTAAAGGAAGATTCACTAACATAGACATTGCTATGTTCCATGGTTCGCCGACGGCTTCGATCGGAAAATACCACCGGAAACGGCACCCTCCTTAGTTGCGGGGACGAAGAACCGGCAGAGAAGCGACTAGAGAAATCGGGGGCCGGAAAACGAAGATTGACGACGGAGGTTGGTGAGAGTCGTGGTTTGGAGAGTACATGAGGAGGGTTGGTGAGACGAGCATTAGTTGAAGAAGCTGCCATCGAGAGGCGTCAAACAACAACGACCCTTTGCGGCTTTTTCTCACACTTTTGCAAAATTGATTAGATTTCTAAATTTTGGTATTTTTTAACGTTTTTATATGCTAAAAAAGTGGTAGGTGGCTTTGGAGATTAGGCGCAATTTTTTATTTTATTTTTCCTTTTCATTTTCTAATTGACATAAACGAAATGTATTTCTTCGATAATTAAATATGTTTTTGATAAAATTCGAAATCTGTAATCAGAAGTTTAGAATTATAACAGATAAAATGCCACAAAAAATAGTGTGATTTTGCGCACACAAAAAAAATGTCAAACAAATAGTAATTTCTTGCGTCTCTAACAAAATAGTAATTGACGTTGTTGGGATAGAAAACTCAGTTCGTTTAGCACTACACTAATGGGCTGCGTTTTTTGGGCCCATAGGAAGCATGTTTAGTGGGCTTCAATTGCATCACATTTTCTAAATTCATATGTTCAATTGTTTGGATAATTCATAGTTCTAAGAAAAATATTAACTATGGTCGGAAACTTGATAGAATTCACTGCGTTAGTAAATCTTAAACTAAAGAAAACAATTCAAATCAGAAATGAAAGCTTAGACTACACTCTATCACAACAATGATCATATGCATTAACACCAGTAGACTGCTTTTCCTTGGGTCCATTGAGGTTGTTCCACTAACTTGCATTCTTGATTTACAAAGATCTTTTCGTAAATTAACGATTCAGAGTCTTTATATGCATTTTGGTTCGGTTTTTAACGATTCAGAGTTTTTTGGCTTTTGATGATTAGTAGCCATAGTGAAACCATTTGATATATTGGTTTATGATTTCGATACAAATTCTGTTTTAGCCATATATAACTGTAGTCCTCGCAAATTTAAATTTGGGTCATCTTTATTAGATTGGATTCAGGTTCAGTCTTAGTATTTTCGAAAAGTTTGATCATACCACTATGTAAAAGTAAACAAAACCTTTAAGCAAACTCACATTCAAAAAGATATATCATGGAAACCAGCAACCGCAAAGAAAATTCCCACACCACAAAGCTTTTTTTAACTCGCCAACAAACTTTAGTACAAAAGACAACAAAATATTTGGTTTGGAACCGAACAACAACCCAATATAAAGTGTTCTTTTTTTTCCTTTGAACATCCAACAACAAATTCACTCACTCGTACTTAAAAAAACGATTTATAATTTGGTTTAGTTAAGTTGATTTAGATCTTATCAAGGAGGACACATATAACAAAAGAAAATTGGTATTCTTATTCTATTACCGAGTCTCAAACAAACTCAAAATTCTTAAGAAATAGCCTATTTCATTTACATTTCGAAATTACGTAAAGCATTTATTCGAAACTGAATATTTATATATGATTCTACTTAAAAGTAAAACTAAAAAACAACAAAAAGGAAAACTCGATCTACGGCCTCTTCAAGATTTCAAGTTTTCAACAAAAAACATTTTCTTTCCACCGAACACATCCTTTCAAATAAAAATAATAATAACTTTTTAGAAAAGGTGAGACAAATTTCATTTAAATTAATTTTTATAATATTTTACTATTAGAGCTAAAAGTTTTCTTTTATAGAGACAGTATCATTACAACACAAAATGCTCTTTGATCTGTAGAGGGGAAAAAAAAAAACAAGCTTTGATTTGTTCATCATTACAGTAACCAAAAAGATGGCTTCATCTATATTGCTAACACTCATCACCTTCATCTTTCTCTCCTCACTTTCTCTCTCTTCGCCGACGACAAACACAATCCCATCTTCCCCAACAATCTCTCCCTTCGAAGAACAGATCTCGCCGGAGATCGCTCCTCTCCTCCCTTCGCCCGCCGTTTCCTCCAGTACGCAAACCATCCCTTCTTCTTCAACACTTCCCGAACCAGAAAACGACGACGTTTTTGCAGATCCTGATCCCGCCTTCGCTCCCTCCGCTTCTCCTCCGGCTTCATCTCTTGCCACTCTGTCTTCTCAAGCTCCCGGAGTTTTCATCTACTTTGTCTTCGCCGCCCTCTCTTGTTTCTCGCTCCGGCTTCTTGCCGGTTCAGCTATATAGGTCCATTCATATTTTAGACCACGTACGTCATTATTTTCATGAGTTTATTTGTCCCCAAAAAATAATTTCGTATCTCGAATAAACCTTTACTATATTTAATTTTAGTTTTAGTTTAACACATTTAATTTCAATCTTTTTTACTATATTTTTGTATTTTTTTTGTTCTTCATTTAATATTTTGTTACAAGTTTAGATTGGTGAAGATGAAAAACGCAAGTAATAAATTACGTCAGAATCACATAATTGATGCATAATTAACTTAGGAACTCTGGATAAATATCTTAGCTTAATCAACGTTTCTTAGCTAAGCAACGATCTTAGCTTTAACTCTGATTTATCATTTAATTTTAATTAATTCTAACCTAAGATTTTTGCTAAGATACCTCCGATAAAGATGGTCTAATTAAGTGATTCAATTAATACACTTTGAGGACTTTTACTTTTCTTCTTTTCACTTCACTATACACTTACCTTTTTTTTTCTTCGCTAGCTAAAGAACCTTTTAAAAAAGTTGAAATCACGTTTCAAATTAAAGGGGCATATGCTTTACAATCTACTGTTTTTAGTAGTATCAAACGTTTATATAGTTGTACTGTTTATATGCAAATAACACTTGAGTTATAGACTATACTAATCAATTTCAACAAAAGTTTATGTATAACACGAGTTTATGAATTGAAGGAATGTATTATTTTGGTCTCAATCTTGAGACGTATATTTATGAATTGAAGGAATGTATTATTTTGTGAGTTCACGTATTTAAGTATAGTGCATTATTGCATTATTCCTAAAATGCCAGAAGTTTAGAGGCGCATGCATGTGAGTTACTGCATATGCTGCCTCACGGCTAAAAGCAACAACAAAAAAAAGGTGCCTTCTTTTCTTGTCCCACACTTTATCTCATTTCTGGAGTTTCAAAGTCTCAATGTTAAATTTATATATAGGTGAAAAGAAATATACAAAGGACGTTTCTTTGTTTTCAACATCATAGGGTTTTATGCGTGACAGATTGTATGTTACTATAAGGTTGATTGATACCCACTCACTTTGTCCTTACATAGTGGGAACACGATGAAATTAACGAGCAATCATAAAAATAAGATTAGATTTCTCAAAAGTTAATTATATATATTATATCAATTGATTTATATATCGTCAACAAGTTTCTAGCAAAACCCTGTAATAAATTATGAACATTAGAAAGATTCGTATCCCTTTGTTTTGTATATGAACACAAACTTTAAAGAAAACAATCTCCTCACGTCCCCCAACGCAAACGTGTATCTCTAAACGCAGACGCTAACGTCGGCATTGAGGTGTACTCAAGTCATTCTCACAAGTCACCCCTGTATCAGTCCCTATTTACATGGACAATTACAATTTTACAACGAAACCAAAAACCCAAACCACGAAAAAATATAAGGACCGGCTTTACAAAATCACACCACAAACCAAAAATCAAACCGGACAAAGAAATAATTCACATCCAAAAATGCTCCCATATATCTAGCAAAACCATTATACCAAAACTGGAGGCAAAAAATGAGAGCCGGTCCATGCTGCGGCTGCGTCCAAAACGCCGAAAAACGCGATTAACAAGTCAAAGATATTTACCCATGTCATAATGGTCATCAAGGTTCGCCGTTTTGTTCCTTGTTTTCTACTTCTTCACTCCACTGCCGAACACTAGTATCAATGGGTGAACCTGGAACTACTGGTGAAACGCCTCGGCCGCCAAATATGCGACGCATAACTGCGTTATCAAATTTCCTCCAGTAATGATGAATGGCTCGGGACGGAGAGTTCCAGAACATTCTAAAGCTAACCGGTTGTTCTATGTTGTATTCTGACGGGCCTTGGGTACTGAGCAACGGCTCATTGTTTGTGAGGAGCGGATCGTGGAAAGAAGATTCTGTTGTGATCTGCAGCGCGGTCGTGGAAGACCGTTTTGAGGAAGGCTGCAAGTGTTTGACTAAAGGTTTGGTTAGCAATCCAAACACCTACAGATAAAAGGTAAGAGATTAGGATAATTAGCCTAATTAAGGATAATATACACCATCGAAACCGAATCGGTTTATTTTCTCGTTGGTGTTTGGTTACGTGTTGGATGGGCTAAACCCGATTTGACTTCACTAGGATACAAACCGGTTTGAGCAAAGCGTTAAAACGTACCACAGTGCTGAAAAGAACAACAGTGATGGTGCTGGTGATCATGATAGCGTTTCCAAGAACCTTGGTGTGTCCTGAAGTTGTGAACTATGATGTAACAGAGAGAAGAGATTAGTGAGAAGTTATCAAAATCCAAAGATTGTTTGTATAATCATTTGTTATCTTTGTTTCTTGTAGTTCACGGATCAAAACCTGGTTATAAGCAAGAGCCATAGACACTGCACCACGCATCAGACCAGCCCACCAAATGGTTACTTGTTTCTTCCAATCTATCTTCTCATCCAGTGAAGACTTTGTTAAATTGGACAGGAAGGAAAGTGGGAACACGAAGGCGGCGCGACCCACAAGAATAAGCCCCAGAAGTATTGAACTCACTCCAATCGACTGACCAGGACTGTCCAAGTGTTAAAACAAGATCATGAAATTGAAACCAGTAACATTGTATTTTTATTGATGTTTTATCACACTACAAGTCTCACCTGCTGCGTACAACGTCCCATTTCTCGATATCGAGAGCGTCCATTCCAACGTAAAGGAAGATAAAAATCTCAGCTAGAAATGACAATGCAGCAAAAGTATGTCTACGCCAAGAAAAACATATACGTTTTAGTCAATCTAAATCAACAAATTAGTAGAGTTATTTTCTAATTATTGGGAGAAGAAAGAAACTTACTTTGTAGTGACCTTTGATTTATCTGTAACATTGTGCCATGTGTAGTGAGACATAACAATACCACAGAAGAACACAGTCAAGATAGAGCTCAAGTGGAACAGCTGCAAAGGATAAATTAATGTATCATGTTTTCATTTTCTGTTGGTAAAAATGTAACCAAAACGTTTCAATTTTTTCTTAGTACCTCTGCCAACATATATGATAAGTAAGCCAATAGCATCATAAGTGCAACTTCACGATCAGTAGAGTGCCTGATGTTACAAAAATAAAATAAAGAAAAGATTAAAGTAACAACTAACAAAGAGTATAATCACGTTGTTAACTATCGATAAACACGCATATACCTTCCGATATAGAGCTTCTTGATAACAAAAGCACTGAGCAATCCAGCCTGAAAGAAAATGAGTGAGAACTTTTCCGGTTAATTCGTGGAATTTGAGGAGCAGAGAGAGAAAGAGAAGCTTACTGCAACACCAAGTGCTGTGCTCAAGATGAAGAGATAAAAGAAGTTTCCAGCAAACTCCAAAGCTATGGCTGAATTGATGTGTGTGAGGTCAAATCTCTGTATCGCGTTGAAGAGCACGACCGATGTGGCATCGTTCACTACACCTTCTCCAAAGACAAGACTGTACAAGAGAGGTGTCTCGTCTTGATTAAGCACCTAGATTTAAAATGAGCACAAGTTGATTCTTGATTAGCAAATGTAGTAGAATAGTACTATTTGTCAATGTTGCATAAGAAAATTCTTACTTGCAAGGTGCAAACAGAGTCTGTAGCAGAGAATATTGCTCCAATGGCTACAAAACAAAACATATAAAACGGTATGACACTTACTGAACAAGAACTTGAAAAGAGTTTTGGGTTTTATTTGTTTCAGGGTACCTAGATAATCCGAAATGGTAAGATCACCGATATTCATTTTCTCGAAAAAATGTTTAGCACCTAGCCAAAACAAAAACAAATCCGGAAATATCATCAAAATGTATGAGACTAATGATAGAAATTTAGGAGTTGAATGAGACTTTTTTTACCTAGTGATATGATAACAAATGAAATGAGAGTACCAACAGCACCAAATAACATAATGGTCATGAAGTTGCGAAAAAATTGCTTCTTCTTAACCTGAAATCTGAAAACAAAAAAAAAGTGTTCCTCAAAGCTGACTTTCAATAACCGAATTTCAATTGAACGTAACCGGTTTTCACGAAATTCTAGATAAGGAAAACTTTACCCTGCATTGAATATAATCGGTGGAAGAAGATAAATGAAGAAGAGATCTTCACTAAACACAAGAATCCTTGAGCTTTTGCCTCCACTTATAAGCAAGATCACAATCCCAGTACATGAACCCTAATTGCATAATTCAAATTCAGAATTGTTTCTAAGCAAAGTTTTTGGGGAAAAAAAAAGAAGAAGCTTACGATGATAAGAGCAGTGATTGACTCGTTCATCCACCGAGTCTCCTCGAGCAAGTGACCAAGCACGATGCAAGCACAAAGCAGAGCAACGAACAAGTTCATCGAGACCACCGATGCATGATCTGAAGCGAATAGAGCCTCTGATTTCTCCAGCATTGTGGCTAATCCGATCACCATCTCCAATCTCAGCTGTAAGAGTATATTTCCTAAAAAGAACACGAAGCGTGATTTGTGGAATTTAGATTTCTGATTGAAAGTATCTAAAATGGTACAGTTTCCTTCTTTAGCCGCCAGGAAAAATTCAAATCACGAAAAAATTCAGAAAAAGGAAATAATAAAACATTCCAAAAACCCTGGAAATTTCCAACAAATTGACTAAAAATTCGAATAAATTTGAAAATTCCTTTAGAATTGTATCACGAAACATCTACTTTATCAATCTTCATCAACAAGAGATCAATTTCACACCTCCATGAACAGTAAATGGATCTTAAAAGCATCTACACAAAAAAAAAAAAACTCAATAAAGCATTCAGACATATATACCTGGTGGCAAGAGTTATGACGAGTTTCGAAAGATCGAATGATTCACTTTGGTCGTAGAGAGAGATGTCACAGTTCGAATAATGGACAGCAAAGAGACGATCGAAGACGAAGAAGACGAAGAAGACGAGAGACCGCCAAAGATGGCGTAAATATATAAATAAAGATTTTTTTTGCAGAGAAGCCAAGTGGAAGAGAGAGAGGTCAACGCTTTTAAATCTCACGTTAGCTAATCTCTACCGTCTATTTATCTATCTCAAGAACTTTATTCCAAATGGACGGTCAAGATGATTTTGTCACACCGTTGTTATGACCGTGAGTGGAACTAGCTCATTGGTTATCATGTTGTCGTGTAAAAGATATATCAAAAAACAACAGAGGGGAACACGCTTTTGTTTTTTTTTTCTTTATGACCAAATGTAAATAATCTTAGGATTATTCTCTTCTTAGGAATAAAGTGAATAATAGTCTTTGTATTCTTTTTTGTTTGGCACCGTAGAGATACATAATAGCCAAATACTTCCTTAACAAAACTAAATTAGTTTGAACTAATTTATGATGATAACCAGTTTCATAAATTGACCCAAAAATAGTTATTTGAATTATATTAATTCTGATGGGGTTGTTGTATTTCTTATGTCATTCGACGTTTACTTGATAAAATATAAGTTGGTCATTTTTAATAAGGTTTCCACGAATCTCTGCTGAAAAACAAAATACTAACTAGAGAATTTCCTAGTAGTATACATGTATTTAATCTTATTTTCTTTATAATGTATTTATTTATCTTTGTACTAAATTTTGGGTCTCGATTAAAAATTGGATGTAAAAAGAGTATATATTCATCTTCATCATTACAAGGAAATAGCTTTTGTAATTTGAATAATTAGATAATACTAGTCGCCCAGGTCTTTGTTTGTTTGTTTTTTTCCCTGTTCTTATTCTTTGTTGTCTTTGCACTTACAGAGAGGGCAAAAGCCAATTCTAGTGTAACCATTTTGGGGGTCAACATGATTAAGGGTTCATCATTATACTTATATATACGTCTCGATTTATCTTTTAGTTCATCGTATAAATTCCTTTCATCTTCAAAACCTCTCACATTTCCCTTTCATATTCATTATTTTGTTAGTGTATTCAAAATAAGAAATCAAAATCCATCTTGAAACATAAAAATAGGTAGTTCGATTGTTTGGAGGCCAAGAAACTCAAAATTCAAGGCTAAAAGTTATTTTTTTCCGATAAGGGTAGAAAAAGCATGTACACGGCAATAGACTTAGTGTATATAAATTAGTATTAGATTATAGGCCCGTTCTAATATATACACGAAACAAATTAATAATTTTATGATTTTTTGGAAAGCTATATCTATGAACGTTGTTAACATGTCCATAAAAAATAAAAATAAAACTATACTGTTTTCAAATGTTATTGAACCAATCCCATGGATATTGAAACATATATAATAACAGCAAATTAATTATAGTAGTGGGTCAAACATGTGACCCTTTAAATTGGCATTTTGAATGCCTCGTGGTCTGTTTTTTGTGTCTGCGATATATAATAATATAAGTATAAATAAATGTTGACAATTGGAAACATTTCAGCATCATATTTTTTTTTTAAAAGCATTATTGTTACTTTAAAAGCATTATTGTTACAGTTTCCAAGTTTATTTAGAAAACCATTTGGAATCTATACCTACGATGGAAACTGGAAAGTAACGAATCTATAGTTTAGCTACTTGGATTTTTTTTTTTTTCTTTTCCTTTCTCTGTTTTGTTTTCTTAAGAAAGCCAGGACAAATACAACGAATGTTGAAGAAGTAACGAATGATGATAGTGTAAGACACATTAATGACTTCCACATTATGGCCGGTCAAAAGTATCTACTGATTTTAAATTTTAGCTTTTACACATCAGTTTTTCTGATTCTGAATTAGTGATTAATGGTTAAACTATTTTGGTAATTCATTATCTGTGAAACAAACAAGATTTATATGATATCAAACTCCTACCAAAATCGTCAGGTTTTATCATCGTTTATTTCTTTTTCAAGTATCATCGTTTTTTTTCTTTTTCAGATTTTTTTTTTTTGGACAAAATCTTTTTCAGGTTTATCATCCTTATCCTATCAGAGAATAATTAAAGACAAAATACGAATTCTTTAAGAAGCGGTAAAAGCGTTTAGAAGAAGAAGAAGAAAAAGAAAACGCCTCAAAATCACCATTATTGTCCGAATCTTCTTCGTGTCTCTCAACAACACCACTTCTCCTACCTTCTTCTTCACACCAAATAAATTCTCCTGTGAAAATTCCTCAAACCCAGATCATGTTTTCATCATCAATCATCTCTTAAACCCTCTAGATCTCACCGCATGACGATCCGAAGTTTGATCCAGGAAATGCGGTCTAGACCACACCGTGTGGTTCACAACGCCGCCTCAACCGCTAATAGTTCTGACCCTTTCAGCTGGTCGGAGCTCCCGGAGGAGCTGCTGAGAGAGATTCTGATTAGGGTTGAGATGGTTGACGGCGGTGATTGGCCGTCGCGGCGAAACGTGGTGGCTTGTGCCGGCGTTTGTCGTAGCTGGCGGATTCTCACGAAGGAGATTGTAGCTGTTCCTCAATTCTCCTCTAAATTGACTTTCCCTATCTCCCTCAAGCAGGTTCTCTGTATACTTTGATCTTTGAGTATTAAGTGATGGAATTGAAACATAAAGTTAGCTGCTTTACTTAATCCCATAAAACATAAGAAGCAGCGTTTGCGTTTGCGTTTAGTGGCTACTATACTGTGATGCTCATTGTGCGTAGAAATTGATTCACATGATCTCATTTGACGTTTTAAGTGTCCTTATGCTTAACAAAAGCTTTTTGTCTCTTTGATAACAGTTTCTGATTGGTGCTTTTGAATGTGTTTTATGCAGCCTGGTCCAAGAGATTCTCTAGTTCAATGCTTTATAAAACGTAATCGAAATACTCAATCGTATCATCTCTATCTCGGGTTAACTACCTGTAAGCCATCTTTGTTCTTCTTCCAGATCATCAAGAAAGAGATTTACTTGTTTCTGAGTTCTGAAGTTGTTAACAAGAGTCTTTTGTTTAATTTTCTGGCAGCTTTGACGGATAACGGCAAGTTTCTTCTTGCTGCTTCTAAGCTGAAGCGCGCAACTTGCACTGATTACATCATCTCTTTGCGTTCAGACGATATCTCAAAGAGAAGCAACGCCTATCTGGGGAGAATGAGGTATGCATATAAAGTTATCTCCTTGTTTAGATTATTTAGATTACAGTCATTACCTTAAGAGTGTGCACACACTTGAAAACTGAGTGGTTGATCTGTTTGATATTCATTACAGATAGTCGCTAGCACACTTTATTTTAAATGTTACTGTTGATGGTTTTAGTCGTGTTGTGAGCATTAGATTATGAGATTTATATATTGAGAGATGGTGAAGTATCGAATCGGAACATAATTTGATCAAAGCTATAAAAGTATGCATCTTTCGGTGTTAATTAAGTGTCTAAACCTCTTATTGTTATTTGCAAGATCGAACTTCCTTGGAACAAAATTCACGGTCTTCGATGGTAATCTGATGCCACATACCGGAGCAGCGAAGATGCAAAAGAGCCGCTCTTCTAATTTCATCAAAGTTTCACCTAAAGTTCCTCAGGGAAGTTACCCCATCGCTCACATTTCATACGAGATAAACGTCTTAGGCTCTCGGTAAACAGTTTTCACATTCAAGAATGATAATGTTTCTAGTCTTTTGACCATTCTGATTTTAACAATCTCTTGATGGTATTAATAACAGGGGACCGAGAAGAATGTGTTGCACTATGGACACAATACCTATGAGCGTCGTGGAGTACCGAGGAGGAGTAGCTTCAACATCCATACGCTCCTTTTCCACTCAGTCATCACCGTTCTTTAGGTCTCACTCAAAACCGGTGCGCAGCAATAGTGCATCTTGTAGCGACTCAGGCAACAACCTGAGAGACCCACCATTGGTGCTGAGCAACAAGACTCCACGATGGCATGAGCAGCTACGATGCTGGTGCTTAAATTTCCATGGTCGAGTCACAGTTGCTTCGGTTAAGAACTTTCAGCTTGTGGCTCTCAGCGACTGTGAAACAGGGCAGCCATCTGAGAGAATCATACTCCAGTTTGGGAAAGTTGGGAAGGACATGTTCACCATGGATTATGGATATCCAATTTCTGCGTTTCAAGCGTTTGCGATCTGCCTGAGCAGTTTTGAAACCAGAATTGCCTGTGAATGATGAAGAGACTAACCTTAAATCACTGCCATGTACTAGTTGTGATCGTCTGTAGATGGTGAAATATTTGTCCAAAATCTCAGGAACGTTAATAGCTTTATCTGGATTCTTCCTGACAATTCAAATCTGTTGTATTTATTTGTCTTTCATGCAAAGAAGCTTACCAGAAATAGGCGAAGGTTACATTTTTTTTTTCTGAAATTTACAAAGAAAATTAATTTACTCTGCTACAAGATTTGGTTTTTCTTTATATGAAAATATAATTTACAGTGAGTCAAAAGACTCAAGTGGCTTGCATACTTGTGCTTAACGTCTTGGCTGCAGCATCCTCCTCTTCTTCCTCTGCTCGAAGATCATCTTCTGGTAGCTTAAACTGGCTAAGGTTCCGGACAAACTCTGCGAAGGCATGGAAATGATCTGGGGAAAATAAAAGTGCTCCCATTCTCTGGTACGTGAACAGATCTATCGCTGCATTCTCGTCCTTTAGGTTCTCTGTGATCTTCTCAAACCCGCCAAGGTTTGGTTCGGATGAGTTTTGTCCTGAAACGACGACTTCATGTTTCTTTCAACAAGTCTTGATGTGGGCAAGCAATGACTCGGGGCTCGAGAGAGATTTCGGCGATTGATACTCGTCTGATAAATCCATCCCAGGCAGTATCATTCTACAAGAGTTCTTTGCAAAGGTCTCTGCAACAATCTCATACCTATCATTGTCACCATTGCAGTAAAATCCAGCTGTTGACTCAGAAGGCCTGGAACGTAGCTTGTGCCATTGATGCAAGAGAGGTAACTTCCCGCATAGAAGCAATCTCGTGCCGCTAAAGACAGAAGATGCAAGAGAAAGAACTCGGTCTGCGTGGGAGACGAGAAGAGATGAGTACCAAGCAAGGAAGAAATCACCATATTCAGATTCCCATGATCCACCATCCGAGAAGAATGGAGCTGATTTAGGCTGTTGATCATAAGAAGGAGCATCGTGCGGACCGCTGAGTCCCCAAAGCGGGTTTCCGTTAACTTCAGCATCGTGTTTGAGAGCGGCAAGCATGTACTTATCATAACACTGAAACTCTCCTGCACCATCAGAGAGTTTCCTGGTTTGATGAGAAGGATATCTCAGCTCACCGTCTGGTCCCAAACCTATAGTAATTCCCCTGATTGTGTTGCCCAAGAAATCTGAGAAAGCTGAGTTAAAGCTTTCCAAGAAACCTCTATAAACATCCATAGGAGTCTTACCATCAAGAACATGAACATCATCAACAGCAAAAGATAAACAATCTTTGTACTGACCCTCGGACCGATCTGTAAAATAGATACCGGGTTCGGTTTCTCCAACACGAGTCACCCAATCCGGTAGAGGTATTCCTGACTGTTTCGAGCCATGGAAACAGAGAGATACGTGAAGCTTAAGACCCATTTTCTTGACCATCTCTGCAATAGCTAAGTAACCTGACCACTGGTAATTTCCAGGGGATTCTGTCTCAGCCACTCCCCAGAAGATTGGTAGCTCAACACCTTCTACTCCAAGAAGCTTCAGAGCTCTGAGTCCCGCAGCGACTGCTTTCGTGTGGTTTACGGTGTTGGCGTGTTGCAGTCTGAAACTGTATCCAAAGGAAGCCCAACGTATAATCTTACGCTCTCTAGCTGTAACGAAAACTCAGAGTTTTCAGATTTATGAACTACAAAGTTTTCTTTTTAAAACTAAAGAAGTGGAAAAAGCATTGTTAATCAAATAATAGAATATATTTTACCGATCTAGTTCTTCTTGGAGTTGATTTCAAGAACGGAGTTTTATCAGAGACGACGGCTTCGCATCTGATAGAGCTCTGCGAGAAACAGAGGTTGATCTCTTTTCGCCTCGTGGTTTCTCCATAGAAGCTAACGTGAGTTCTTGCATTAATCGAGATGAATTCAGACCCTATGCAGAATCTATTTACCCTCTCTGCTAATTCTACTCTACAGATCCTCGCCTGTGGATTTCCAATCACCGAAACTTCCATTTGAGAACAACAAAAAAAACAAAGATCGTAAAAACAATGGATTGCGAAGAAAGAAAGTTGATTTTAGATTTGAATCAGAATTCAGAAAGACGAGGAACTCTTTTCAATTGTGGGTTTTCTTGAGGATTTCGATTTCATTTATATAAGAACAAGAATTATGTAACGGTATAATAAATCCCGAATCAGTACTCACCGAGAGCACGAGATAAGGGCAAATCAAAGCCCAGAAGGTGAAGGATCACCTCGAAGATCTTAGATTTGGTGTAAATGGAAGATGATGATGATCGAAAGAAATAAAGGAGATTGAAGAAGATAGTTTGTGTTTTTGATTGATTCCCAGAAAATGGCTAAAACCCTTTACATATAGAGTTACGATAGTTTGGTGGTCTAAACAAATGACCAAAGAAGATTAGTGAACCGGAAATTAGAAAACTAAACCGGTTACCGGTTTATCCTATTACAAATTAGAACGCGATAGTTTTTGCTTTTCGTTTTCTTTCTCCCCGCGCATTTAATATGACGAGGACTTTTATTTTTCGTGACGACGAATTAAACGTCAAAAAAGTAGGATTTTTTTTTTAAAAGGTCCTTGAGAAAAAAAAAACAAAAGCAAAATCTCTTTGAAATATTTAGAATTCTCTGAATATTAAGTTTTCTTGAATCTTAATTTGTTGTATATCAAAACCTAATTTTGGATAAAGAAGTTATGTATTATGACAAGAGATATATACACGAATTCAACTACGTCGTACTATATAGAAACAACGCATGCTTACATTAAATAACATAACAAACAAACCAAATCAGGTCTTTTTCAAAAACAAAAACAAACCAAATCAGACACAAAGACATATACACACACGTGTGAACAAATACACGGTACAGAGAGAGATGATGGATTTATAGCTTTTGTTTTGTTCATGGATTTCTCTTGGAGAGAGCTGAGCAAATGGATAAAACTAGGAGAAGAAGTGTAGCAAAGAGAGATAAGGCAAGCGAAGTTGCGATGTAACGACAAAACTTGTCGTAGACATTACAAATCTTGTTCCACCCAACTTCTTCGTTTCCTTTCAACGCTATGTACGCAACTCCTCCCGCCGTTCCCGTTGCAGACGCCAAAATCCCCAGCATCACCTGTTCATATACATAATTCCGGAATTGTACTTTAAAACACCCTTATTAACTTGGTATAGAAGATTCAAAGTTACTTGTAAAACAAGTTACCATGTCTAAGGACGCTAGGTAAACGGAGACCCGTGCAGTAAACTCAGGTTTCAAGAGTAGAGAGATGGAGACAAGTGTTGAGATGAGCGCATAGAAACTAACCACCACGAGAGAAACCACGAAGAATCTGCATAGATATATCCAACAGCACATTAAGCTTAAACTAAAAAAACATTCCTTGATTACGATCAAACATGGAGGAATTTAGTTAAAGATACAAACATGAAAGCGGGCGAGTCATTGAACTCCGCGGAGACAGGAGCCGGAGACCGAACTCCGGGGAGCTGAGCCATCTCGGTCTGGTCGCTGGTCACCATTACTATAAGAGCTGTCAGAGTGGCGGAGAAAAGCAGAACTCTTGTTATGACGTCTATTTTACGACAATCTAGGAAACTGGCGGCTGATGAGGGAGGTGGTGGTGGTGGTGTAGCCGACGCGGGAATCGGTTCAGATTTGCCAGTTTCTGGGTCAGGGTTCTCAGTAGACGCCATCAGATGATTATATTACTCTATTATATTACGGATTAGTTTATGGTTAAGTTTGGACTGTGAGTTATGAAGTTGGCCGCTACATGAGAATATATTTGTGAGTATATATAGTCCTGGTGTGATGAGTTGTGGTTACCCACACGCCAAGAAACAAGTTTATATAACAATTATGGTGTATACTTTTTTTGTTTGAATTGTACAATAATTATATAGGAGCTTGAATCTCAATTCATTTAATTTTCTAGCATGCATTTTCGTTGTTTAAAATTTGCAAATAGTTTTTGGCAAATTCACTAGATGTTGTAGTTTTATTTCAACGTTAACATATATTCATCAATCATCAGTCAAAAGATTTCTACAAATCTTTGTAATACATAAAAACAAATTTGCATCTCTATTTTTGATTAACAGAAAAATCAAATATATTAATTTAATATTTCTATATGTATAAAGTTGTGGATAATGTAGATACAATAGGAATGTGTTAGGCCAACCCCAGGAAGGTTGGTGAGGAAATTGGGCGACGATAATCAAGATGATAAAAATAAAAAAGTAAAGAACAGTAGGGAGTGGTTAATCAATCATCTGCATGAAAACAAGTAATTTTATACATGCTCTTAGGTATCACTTTGCTTTCTACTCGTGGCTGCAAATTATGTAAATGGATATCTTATTTTATGTAAGAACATTAAACTGCAAGAACCCAAAATTCCAGAAGCATCACCACTTCTCAAACATATTATAATGTTATAACATGGATAAAACTATTTCAGATACTAATCCAGTCGAAAGAGAGTAGTTTTGTCTAAGCAAAATCACCAAACTTTATCTTTTTATACCAAGACAGAGTGCACACAAGTCAAGGACAACACAAAAACTCAGACCTAACAGTAATAATATATGAATCCCATCATGTTTTTTCTTTCATATCTTAATTATACCTAACATGTTTAAGTAAATCCAAATATATAAATAATATATAGATAGCTTCAACAATTAGGGGTCGATGATCAACCAAAATATACAAAAGATTAAAAATGATTTAACTGGAGAATCTTTCTCTCGAGCAGCTCCAGCATAATAAGTTGAAAATATCGGGCTTGAAAGTGGGCCTTATGGGTCAATGAGGCCCATTTATGAACAAACGAAGTCCAAAGCGGGAATGTTCTAAAACTCTCTTGCTCAGTTGGCGGGTAATTCCCATTCGACGAAGCGACTAGTTACATCGTAGCCGTGGATTTAATCAGCTTAATCAACGGTCATAAACTACCCTGAAGCTTCGGTCGTTTTGCAATTTGTATCTAAATTTTCACACTTTAGTTTATTTTTTTTATTTTACTTTTCCACAAGCGAAGCGAACCCTCGATCTCAAGGCGAAAGCAGATTTCGTAGCTTCCATGGCGAGAAATTCGAATTCCGATGAGGCATTCTCGTCAGAGGAGGAAGAAGAGCGGGTTAAAGATAATGAAGAAGAAGATGAGGAGGAGCTCGAGGCTGTTGCTCGTTCTTCTGGCTCCGACGATGACGAAGTAGTCGCCGCCGACGAATCCCCAGTCTCCGACGGAGAGGCTGCTCCCGTAGAAGATGATTACGAGGTAGGTGCATGCTAATTTCGTTTTGATGGCTGTGATTTTCGAATTCTCAGTGAACTGCGTCTTCCTTCGTTTGTTAATTTAGTCGTTGCGTGAAAGTTCATTGAATCATTGTGGTATATGCAGGACGAAGAAGATGAGGAAAAAGCTGAAATCAGCAAACGTGAGAAAGCCAGACTTAAAGAGATGCAGAAGTTGAAGAAGCAGAAGATTCAAGAGATGCTGGAATCACAAAATGCTTCCATTGACGCGGATATGGTGCGTTGTTTGAAGTGAATATTTCATGTTTTGAGCTGCTTTTCCTTCTTGTGGTTTTGGGTATTCACGATTTTGAATCATTCCATGTATTTAGAACAACAAGGGAAAAGGGAGACTGAAGTATCTCCTGCAGCAAACCGAGTTATTTGCACACTTTGCTAAAGGTGATGCATCTTCTTCTCAGAAGAAGGCTAAAGGAAGGTGTGTTGGATGCAATTGATTCCTAAAACATCGTTTATTCCTCGATCCTGGTCTCATAATAAATATGATGAGCATACCCTGATATTTGGTTTTAAATTCTACCTTCAGGGGTCGTCATGCTTCCAAAATAACTGAAGAGGAGGAAGACGAAGAGTATCTAAAGGAAGAAGAGGATGGCTTAACTGGATCTGGAAACACACGTTTACTCACACAGCCCTCTTGTAAGTACCTGTATTTTGCTCTTTAGTCTAGGATTGCTGCATATTGGTCGTCTGTCTAGTCTCGAGCAACAAGTACAATATGATTGACATCTCCGTCCATTTGCGTAACCTATACATATTGTTGTGACCTCACAGTTTCTAGGTAGTATAGCGTAAATTACTGGGAAAGCTTGAGATTCATCTTTTTTTTTCATCTCAATCGACAGGTATTCAAGGGAAGATGAGAGATTACCAATTAGCTGGTTTGAACTGGCTCATTCGGCTGTATGAGAATGGCATAAATGGAATTCTTGCTGATGAAATGGTAAACAATTCTCCCCCAAGGATCCAAGCAGAATAAGTTCTCTATATTCTATCTCGCTAATCATGAAACCAATTTTTGTCCTGTGGTCTAGGGTCTGGGGAAGACGCTTCAAACGATTTCTTTGTTGGCATACCTTCATGAATACAGGGGAATCAATGGTCCCCATATGGTGGTTGCTCCAAAATCAACACTTGGTAATTGGATGAACGAAATTCGCCGGTTTTGCCCTGTCCTACGTGCTGTGAAGTTCCTTGGTAATCCTGAGGAGAGGGTAAGTCATGAGCTGTCTGCCATTTCAGAGTTTCATGTAAATGTTTATCCTAGGATTCTGAGATGTCTTATAAATAATGCAGAGACATATTCGAGACGACCTGCTAGTTGCTGGGAAATTTGATATTTGCGTCACAAGCTTTGAGATGGCCATCAAAGAGAAGACAGCACTTCGTCGGTTTAGCTGGCGTTATATTATCATCGATGAAGCGCATCGAATCAAGAACGAGAATTCACTCCTTTCTAAAACCATGAGACTTTTTAGCACCAATTATCGGCTTCTTATCACGGGAACCCCCCTTCAGGTGTTTGCTTTATGTCTCTATCTTATTCTTGAATATTTGGACACTGAAGTTTTCTTTTTTAAGTTGCTTCTAATTGTATGTAGAAACAACCTTTCTTGTACGAGTGTGTTTGCACTCTTAACTTTTGCTTTCCCATTCCTTGCACTTTTTAATATTTCCCATATAATGAATGCTGTGTAGCCTGCTGTACTCATATTGTCTTCGTATATGCAGAATAATCTCCATGAACTGTGGGCTCTTCTAAATTTTCTTCTGCCTGAGATTTTTAGTTCAGCAGAGACTTTTGATGAATGGTTTCAAATTTCTGGTGAGAATGACCAGCAAGAAGTTGTTCAACAACTTCACAAGGTATGGATGTACCCATTCCTTCCATTGAGTTTATTCTGTTCTGTGTAAGTCGTAGGTTAATCGCTTTCATGTATCTTTTTAGGTTCTTCGACCATTTCTTCTTCGAAGACTAAAGTCAGATGTTGAGAAAGGTTTGCCACCGAAGAAGGAGACCATACTTAAAGTTGGTATGTCTCAGATGCAAAAGCAATACTACAAGGCTTTACTGCAGAAGGATCTTGAAGCGGTTAATGCTGGTGGAGAACGCAAACGTCTGCTAAACATTGCAATGCAACTGCGTAAATGCTGCAATCACCCTTATCTCTTCCAGGGTGCAGAACCTGGTCCCCCATATACCACAGGAGATCACCTTATAACAAATGCTGGTAAGGCTAGTAGAAATAAACTAGATCCTTCAAATTTCTGTGGTACTTTTTAATGAAGCAACTCTCTACTGTTATTTTTAGGTAAGATGGTTCTCTTGGATAAATTGCTTCCTAAGTTGAAAGAACGTGATTCAAGGGTTCTGATATTTTCTCAGGTAAACGCTAATACAGAACAGCTGGGTATAATGGTTTCTTACTGTCCATCTTCTCTTTTTCCTTTGTCTATGTAAAGTCCGAGCCTTGTTCTTTTCTTTCCTCATGTCAGATGACAAGACTTTTGGATATTCTTGAGGACTATTTAATGTATCGGGGTTACCTGTATTGCCGTATTGATGGAAACACTGGTGGTGACGAAAGAGATGCCTCCATAGAAGCCTACAACAAGCCAGGAAGTGAGAAATTTGTTTTCTTGTTATCTACTAGAGCTGGAGGGCTTGGTATCAATCTTGCTACTGCAGATGTTGTGATCCTGTACGATAGTGATTGGTAAGTCTCTCATCATTGTCCACTGTAGTTTATGAGTTTTCTCTTCACGTTTGACGAGTCTGGCGGATTCTGGCAGGAACCCACAAGTCGACTTGCAAGCTCAGGATCGTGCCCATAGAATTGGTCAAAAAAAAGAAGTTCAAGTGTTTCGATTCTGCACTGAGGTTGGTCTTCTCCCCGTGAATTTCAAATTAGAACAGCCATGAGGGGGTTTGCAATTAATTATGTGTTGGTTGTTTACAGTCTGCTATTGAGGAGAAAGTGATTGAAAGAGCTTACAAGAAGTTGGCACTTGATGCTCTGGTTATTCAACAAGGGAGATTGGCAGAACAGAAAAGTAAGTGCCTTATACAGTGATTGCGTTATGCATTGGTTCATCTCTGACAGAATTAATATTTATCTTAACTATGCAGCTGTCAATAAGGATGAGTTGCTTCAAATGGTAAGATATGGTGCTGAGATGGTGTTCAGTTCTAAAGATAGCACAATCACAGACGAGGATATTGATAGAATCATTGCCAAAGGAGAAGAGGCAACAGCTGAACTTGATGCCAAGATGAAGAAATTCACAGAAGATGCGATACAGTTTAAAATGGATGACAGTAAGGGTGTCACTGACCTATTTTCGCCTATTACATTGTGTGAAAATTGCAATGTTTTTAAAATCTGCTGTTTTATTTGTTGTAGGTGCTGACTTCTATGATTTTGATGATGACAATAAGGTAACTTGTATATTTTTTGCATAGTCTAAACTTTCATGTCATATCCCTAGCTTTGCTCTGCATTACTGAAAATAAAATTTACTGGTATATTTGTAAATTTTGTTCATAGGATGAAAACAAGCTCGATTTTAAGAAGATTGTGAGCGACAACTGGAATGATCCCCCCAAACGGGAGAGAAAGCGCAAGTAATGATACTTCTGTCTTATACATTGTGCAATCCTATTTCGCCAGTCTTCATAAACTTTTTATCTAACAGAAACATCCCTTTTGTTTTATCTACTGTATCTCCAGCTACTCTGAATCTGAATACTTTAAGCAAACATTGCGGCAAGGTGCTCCAGCTAAACCTAAAGAGCCTAGAATTCCGCGCATGCCCCAGTTGTGAGTACCTCAACAAACTCTACTCTCATTGTTGAATGCCTCTCCCCTGTCTTGATGATTTTCTTACACTAGAAATCTAATTTATTGTCCATCTTTCAGGCACGATTTCCAGTTCTTTAACATTCAGAGATTGACCGAGTTGTATGAAAAGGAAGTACGTTATCTCATGGTAGGGCTCTCTAAACGAAACACTTGTCATTCCTTTGATGTGCTTATGAGCGAGCTTTTTGCCTAAGAAAGCAACTTGCTTCACTTTGGTTTCAGCAAACACATCAGAAAAATCAGTTGAAAGACACAATTGATGTTGAAGAACCAGAAGGTCAAGCTCAGTTTCTCAGCATGTGCCCACTTTGTTAAACATGTTTTTCAGCAAACCTATTACTGATTAGAAATTTTTTGTTAGAAGGTGGAGATCCCTTAACTGCTGAAGAAGTAGAAGAAAAGGAGCGATTATTGGAGGAGGCAAGTGAATATGTTTGTTAAAGTGGTCTTAGACATTTGATTTGTTAGGCTTTATATAATTGTTTGTATTTGTCAATCTCCAGGGTTTCTCAACATGGAGCAGAAGAGATTTCAATACTTTCCTCAGGGCATGTGAGAAGTATGGCCGCAACGATATAAAAAGCATTGCCTCTGAGATGGAAGGGAAAACAGAGGAAGAAGTTGAAAGATATGCCAAAGTATTCAAAGAGCGGTACAAGGAGCTGAACGGTAAGTTACACCTTTCAATGCTAAGTAATATATGCAGTGTTTTCACATATTTCTAAGTAATTCCTACCTCAGAAAAGAGCTTATGCTAAGTAAGTGTATCATCTTTCCCTCTAAATATGTAGACTATGATAGAATCATTAAGAACATTGAGAGGGGAGAGGCAAGGATCTCTAGGAAAGACGAAATCATGAAAGCCATAGGGAAGAAACTGGATCGCTACAGAAACCCTTGGCTGGAACTGAAGATTCAATATGGTCAGAACAAAGGAAAGTTGTACAATGAAGAGTGCGACCGTTTCATGGTATGTCTTTTTCTCGTTTCCTTTTCTACTGTTTTGCTTCACTAATTTTATCATGAAGTTTGATTATTGGGTAACTTTGGTGGTCAAAAACAGATCTGCATGATCCACAAACTTGGGTATGGGAATTGGGATGAGCTGAAGGCAGCATTCAGGACATCGCCTTTGTTCAGGTTCGACTGGTTTGTGAAATCTCGCACGAGTCAGGAACTTGCAAGAAGATGCGACACCCTGATTCGACTGATCGAGAAAGAGAACCAGGAGTTTGATGAAAGAGAGAGGCAAGCCCGTAAAGAGAAGAAGCTCGCAAAGGTAAAAGAATGCAATATTTCACGTATAAAGTTGTATTCTTTTTATTTGATTTCCTTAAGTGCTTAATACTTTTCTGGTTTTTAATCTTTGAAGAGTGCAACACCATCAAAACGACCTTTAGGAAGACAAGCCAGTGAGAGTCCTTCATCGACGAAGAAGCGAAAGCACCTGTCGATGAGATGAGATTATGTGTTTACGGATTTGTTGAGTCTTGGTTGTTACATATAGTTAAGCTAATGTCAAAAACATAGCAAATGGATTTCATTCTGCTTTCGTGAATGTTTGTCGGCTGGTTTGACTTGGATTTAATGAAATGACTTGATTATAATTTTGTTGACTTAATATTCAACTAAAGAAACTGGACAAAAAGAAACTGGCCATTGGATGGCATCTTAGGCCGAAGCTTAAGCAAAAGTTATGAGTTTGAGGGAATCATGAACACACTACTTTTGTGGAAAGAAGATACATAGGCATTGTTCGTGCAATGTGCAATGTGCAATGATTGAATGTAGATGTAATTGGATACCAAATTACAAGAATGAGGAAGAGAAAACGTGTACTTCTTTCTATGTTCGTAGACATTTTAAAGTGCTCCAGATTCATGAACGAATAAAAACAGGGGACTTCTCATGAATGTCGCTTGAATAAGGCCATTTATTAGTAATCGTTATTCAAGAAAAAAAAACAAGAGGGAGAGAGATAGAGAGATGGCCGTATGAGAGAATATATTATATATGGACAAATGGTCAATGACAGAAGCTTTGGTCTATCTGCTTCCATCGAATCTCAGACCCCAAAAATAATCTTCTTTTCTCTTTTTTTTTTACTTAATGTTGCTTAGTTTATGAAGAATTGAGGGTATTTTCCTCTCTTTTTTTTTTTTTTTAACTTGAAGTCTTAGCTTCTATGCTGCCACTGACGCTGGCCGAGTCACCACTCGTCTCAGCTGGCTCTGGACGGCTCAAGCCACTGACCATAGAAGTTGAAACTGCAGCAGTCACAGCCTCTGTGGTGGGTTCATTGCTTGAGCTTACTGGAGCTGATGAGCCGCTGAGTGAGGATGATCCGATTGGGTATGGAGCCACGGGCATATCGGTTAGTGATGATGCAGACGGACTGTAGCTAAGCGAAGAACTCATTGAGTGATCAAACCTACACGCCGGTCCAAACTTGCAGATTCCGTGTTGAGAAAAGTGAGTGCATTGCGCTACTCCCTGTCAAATACATTGAAATGTGTCATATCAAGACTAGTTAAAAATATCATCTTGGATTAAATGAAAGACTTACGGGACGAAGTGGGAGGCCAATGGAGCTGAGGACAAGGCCAGTCTTAGGTGGAACTGCATCTACAGGATGATGGTATCGGCAAGAGGATCCGAATTTACAGTCACCGGTTCTCATGAAGTATTGGCACTCGGGTTGATCAGGTCGCTGAGGAAACTCTTTTGAGGTATTTGAAGACGGGCCTGATTGATATGTTCCTGTATATGCAGTCGCTGAAGGAGATAACGGCGTGATTCCATAAACAGAGCTTGATCCAATAGACGGTTGAGTTCCAGGCGTAGGCATTGCACTTAAAGAAGCCTGAAAAATCGATAGATTCTTTTAGGAAAAGAGTAGCACTGAAGAACTCCACAAAAGCGAGATAAAGGCTTCGAAGATGGATTACCTGGTAAGGATTCCAACCAGAGTATGGAACCATTCCCGGAGGCAGAACCATTGGAGGACCGTAAGGGCTTGGAAGATATGAACCAGGTAAAAGAGAAGGCCTTGTCAAAACTAACCCATATTGTTGAGAGGAAGGAACGGATTGAGACTGAAGTGTCGGATAAATAGTCTGTAGCTGCGGCTGTAGCTGTGGCTGTTGCTGATGCTGAGGTGGACCCTGTACAGCGAGTGGCACGGGATGGTTGAATCTACAAGTCAAACCAAATTTACACTGACCGGTTCTCAAGTAATAAGAGCACTCTTTCTCTCCCTGTAATCAAATTTTTAATGAGCTTTTAGAGATCATACAAGACAATGTGGAAGCATCCACAAACCAATAACACCATTAGAGAGATTAGAACACAAACCGGGCGTAATGGATATCCCAAATAACTAAGCGAGACAGGCGCAACGGAACCACCACCACCTCCTTGCCTAGGATGATGATACTTGCAAGAAGCACCGAATTTACACGTTCCCGTCCGCATAAAATGCTGAAAAAAAAAAAAAAAAAAAATCTAAAGTTCACAATTTTTTGATAAACAAAAGCATACAAATTGAAAGTGCATTGCTCAAAACCGGAAGATTGTTTGATCGGAAAGAGATTCAGATAACAAAACCTGACAAACCGGATGTCCCATCCTCTCTGGTAAAGCTCCAACTTCTCCTCTCACACCTCCAATAACCTAAACATCAAATCAGAGCTTACACAATAAACCAACAAAATATCTCAAGCAATTTGGTTTGTGTCTCTGCTAAATTCAACAATGCCCAGTAACCACCACTTTAACGATCTGATCATCAGACTCTCAGTAACTAATCTGAACTGAAATTGGTGAATAATAAGAAGAATCTAAAATTGGGAATCTTTTACCGCTCCACGATCTCGTGGGTGATTAAACCGACATCTTGACCCGTACCCGCAAACGCCGGTTCTCAAGTAATAAATACAATCAGGCTCGTCAGGTCGCTCCGGGTACGATTCTCCTCCTCCACCTCCTCCGCCGCCGCTCAACCCTAACCGCCACATCGAAGCTAAAAAAAAAAAAGACGCATTTGAATCAAAATCCTTTAACCTCACAGCTCTAATTGCAGATTAAGCCCAAAAAATCAAAACTTTAACAAGACATTACCTTCGAGTCCTGTTTCACCTCCATGAGAGGTCCATTCAAGAGATGGATCCGATCGCGACCCTTCTTCACCGGCGCGACCGTACCGCTCCATTGATAGACCCTAATCTTTACAGAGGGAGACAAATCCCTCAAACCAGCTAAAGAGGAAGTCTTTTAGCTTTTGTCGGAATGTTAGAGCTCCGATCAAAGAAGAGTGTTGTGAAAATCTGAGAAAGAAGAAAAGAAAAAGAAGATCGTAGTTTCGCTTCAACACCACTCTCAGTCGCTTGATCTCTCTCTCTCTCTCTCTCTGCCTTCAAAGCTGAAACTTTTTTGAACTAAACAAAATAAATATTTGTTTTTTATAATTTTCGGCTACGATTTTTATTTTATTTTCCCTGTAACAAGTTTTTTTTTATTTGTGTGTGTGTGTGTAATGCTTTTTGGAAGTGATGGGGAAGTTTTGATCTTTCTTTATGCGTGGTCGCCTTTTTCGTGGGTGTTTTGCCGGTGGTGGTTAATATACGCGCCAAACATAGACAATTAGTGACCTCTCTCTCTTCTCTTTATTTTATTTTCTTTCTTGTTTCTTCTTCTCTATTTCTTTTCTTTTTAATATTTTCGTAAAATACCAAAATATATTTTTAAAAATTAAAAATAAAAAGAAAATTTTACGTAGATATTTTTGTTCTCACTATGTAAATCATATGAAAATCAGGTAAATATATTTTATAAATGCTTAATACAACAATCACTAGGCTGCCATATTGAGTGGTACTTTAAATCATTGAGTCTATAAATTTCTATTTGTTGTTTAATTGTACTACATTCATGTATAGGAAAGGGACGTTGATTATTTAGACTGTTAGATTTTCTATAGATAATATACAGTACTAGATTATATAAAATCTTTTTGTAACCAAGTTTTTTTTTTAGTTATCTGGTGTATATATTATAAGAAATTGCAAATTTTTTACATCGCTTGTGATTTTCTACAATTAATATATTTAAGTAAACAATTGCAAATCAAAATGATGTTAATCGAAAATTACTTTGGATTATTTCTTTGTTAAAATAAAAGCGATTAGTTATTCTACTTTTTATTTTAATCAATGGACCACGACACGTCCATGAAGAAATTGGATTTATGTGTCAAAGACAATTAAGGCTGCCACTACAATATGAAAGCTTGAATTTAAAAAGCGATGAATCTCTCCAGACTTGTCAAGAAAAAATAAAACATGATGTCCATTGAGCATGGGCAAAATAGTATCGTGTGACTGATATTGTTTGTTTCCATCCACTAAATTTCCATAAATTTACATGTATAAACTAATTACTAAAGATGCAACTGTTTCAAGAACAACAAGCCAATCAAAAATATTTCTTACAAACGATTTTGGTCACCCACTCACCAGTCATTTAGTAATCCATAAATTGATAGTCACTTACAAAAAAATTGTGTTCCCATTTTCTTAATTTGGATCTATTGTAGCGTTTGACGTTCAGTTGCTTAGGCATGCGCGTGGATGGTTTAGAAGATTACTTGGGAGCAATAAGACTTTTTACATCACTTGACATGACCAATCCAACGGCAACACAAAGCATTGGGGTGATGATGACCAACGGGCGAGATCTATTCCAAAGTCACTGTCCATTGAACTGATGACCAAACGAACCAGAGGGCTCATTGAGTGTAGTAGGTAAAGAAGCCCATTCTCTTCATAAAAAGTTAAGATTTAAACTAATTGGAGTTTTTTTTGTTCCATTTAATGAGAGTTATTTTAAATAATGAGAAACCAAATAGAATTAAACTCAAAACATTGACATATCATATTAGTTTGTTTCAGTATGGTCACCATCTAATCATAAGCCCATGTTTACATCCGATAAAATTTATGAAAATTGTAGAACCAAAAAAGAAGACAATTTAGTCTGTTTGTTGCTTTAGTCTCTTAGTTCTATATTGATTGTTAAATACATATAAAGAATTTTATGATTTCAAAGAAGCTTTTTCGAGGATAAAACCAAATTATGAGTAATTCCATGTCACCGCATGGCAAGAAACAAAAATCTTTTTTTTTTTGGTTTGTAAAGTCGAAAAGTGAAAATTAGTCAGCCGAATGAGAGCATTAAAAGCATGTTTGCAAAGGAAGTTAAGAGTAATAATAAAGTTATTGGTAATAAAATAAAATAAAAAAGATGTGAAGAAGGTTTGACTTGGACAAGAATGAGCCACATGTGACCAGCTTTTGGAGATTTTGTTATTCCCCAAAGGATCTTTTGGACCATAACATCCCTCCTTTCTTCATCTACCAAATGTCGGCGAGATCAATTTTTTTTCTTTTTCTTTTTTAATTAAATTGCATTATATTAACAGTACTTTGCTTTCTAATTTTATAATTACTATTAGTCCCTTATAATATTGGACACGATAACATCGTTGTCTTATTTGTTGCATGACGTTTTTGCTTATATAATTTTTAGTAGTATTTTTTTCAATGTAAATTATACAAGTACGTCTTAAGTACTGTTGATTTTAATATAGAGATAATGATAAATCTTTTAACTTGACTAGAAATTCATCTAAAGACAAGAATATAAATTCCACAAGATATCTAAAACCATGGAAGTTGAGTATAATATCACCAAAAATATCTTAATTCAGTTTATTAGGGTTTCATGTTGTTGCTAAAACTTGGTAAAAAGGATCTTTGTCTCGGACAACGTTCTCTTAATTTTATTAATAGAAATGAAGACATTGGTTCTAACTTCTAAGTATAACAACGCAAACAACTCCACTAACCGAACTATAGTGGTGAATGAGAGAAGCTGATTCTTTGAACCGGACCAAGTAATTATAACCATCTTCAACCAACTCCTAGACCAGACAACTACTTCTTGTGTCTTTTCACAATGGCATCTTCATCCACAGTTCATCTGTTTCTTCCAAAAACTTTTACCGACAGGAATACACAGAAACATTGACTCATAAAGATTGTAGAATCATTGTGTGGGGGAAACAACAAAGAAGAAAGTAGAAAGACTGATACAAAAGGTGTGTGTAGGAGAGATTATATTTAACCTTTATTCTTTTTGTTTTCTTTTCTTTCATATTGTGAAGCAGCCAGCTTATTTTTTTTTTTTTTTCACCCATCTTCATTAGGGGATACCTTAGAAAGATTAAGAAGAAAGGTCAAGGAAACAGTCAACAACAAATATATTCTAAAATGTTATATTCCTTAATCCTTATCCAGACAGCACCAAAGAGGATTTAGATACCTCAACATCTTCGAATCGGGGCTTCGACGTGTTGAAATTCTCTCTTTTTTTTTCTTTTTCTTTTTTTTGATGAATTTCTCTTTCTCAATTCCAAGTCCCACCTGAAAGCATCAGTAGATTTACTTCCTCAAGATTATCCTTTGATTCCTTCTTATCAGAACCATAAGGAAATTTCGAAAAACCAATGTGCACGTGCTCTACTAACATAACAGAGTAACAGACACAAGAATAGGGATTTGGTTAGGACAGAAACAACATGAATATAGGGAAGAAGAAAAAACTCTATTACCGAGACAACATGAACTGAAACTAATTTTAAACAAACAAGTATGGCTGCTTTCAAAATTCTAGCAAAGCAACTCTAGAACCAAGGATAAATGTCTCGAGCGATTTTTGACGGGCCTATTGAGGAGATAAAACCCGTTAGGGTATTGAATTGTTTGTTGGGCAAGTCACAAAAGTGTACTAAACTATAAATGTGTATCTATTAAAATGGGCCAATTTTGGCCCAAATATCGCAGAGTTGTACTCATTTAATTTATTGTGTAATGTGAAATTTATCAGGCAACATATATATAAAAAGATTTTTTTTTTTGGTTTCCTTGAGTTATTTACTTATTCTTATATTTAGATGAATGTGTCTAGACCAAGATGTTTCAATTGATAATCTAATAATTTAAAAATATTTTGTTGTTGACAAAAAAAAAGTTTTGACATATGTGGAAGGGTCTAATAATCATGGCAATTAAGATCTTCACATTGGTTAAAGTCGTGATAGAAAAACTTGCTTGTCTAGACACAAAACAAATCATCTTAAACAACAAAACCACCACAGAATACGAGTTTACGACTATATATACATTACTTTGTATAAAATTCTGTTTAAAATTACATTGTTGGTTATCCTTTCTTTATCTAATCCCCATATAGCAAATAAAAATACCATAGTAGTCTAACTAACACTGCGAGCGCAATTATTACGTGTCCTAGATCAATTATTTTATTTATATACTAGTATCGTGTTTGTAGCCGACTTATATTTATAAACAAGAATGTGGCAATTAATTAAGAATATCCACCTTTCTTTTTTTTTCTTTTTTTTTTTGTTAAGGAATATCCGAATCTAAATAACTGAAATGAAAGAGCACAAAATTTCCAAAAAGTAAAAGAAGCTTTCATCCCATGGTTTTGGACCATGTTTGGATGCCAATGGCATCGTAACATCCTCCAACGCAAACGAATTTTGTTCCATGGTTTCATCATTTCATTTGTTGTGAAACAAGACCAGATTTTTTTTTGTGTGAAAAAGAAAAACAAGAAAGATAGACTGCCAACGCGTCATTCATAATTATTGAGCTTAAATAGAGACATTATTTATGTAGTTATAAACTCGTTGGGAACAGAAAAGTTTTAAAATCCTCTTGATAAGTGATGATTAAAATATGTATAACAAAAGAAGCAAAAAGAACTTGTAGAAAATAAAAGAAAAAAGAACTTGTAGAGAAGATTGACCAAAGGATGGATGGGATATACATAAACTAGTATATTCTAAAGTTTGCGGTTCAGCTGAAAACATTATCGCATAAAACACACAATCCAAGTCGTAGAGGACACGTTTACCGCACCGACATTGAAATTTCTTAGGCCTCATTTTACCACATCTCCCCAAACTTGCGTGCTTGCACGAAACTATCTATGTTCCATTTATTTTTTTGGGGGAAGAACAAAAACCAAAATGGGTTTTGTGTGAATCATCATCACCTGTCTTATTATTATTGCCATATTTGAGTTATACATAATTTACAAAGTCAAATGTTTTTTTTAGCTTTTCTGTACAATGTCAGCTAACAACAATAATAACAACAACAACAAGAGCTGACGTTATTCACAAACATAAGAATCAAACAAATGGATTATTCAGAGTGCGCTTCGATCCGATATGAAGCAACAAATCTTTGGTTAGCCGAAAGTTTTCTCGGTGCTGTAGCACATGTACAAGAACCCATCTTCTTCTTTGAAAGTATTGTAGAGAGAGTCCATGCGACTAGCTGCAGAAACAAGAAGAAAAGTGTTAATGGAAGCTTGGAAAACTGGTGAAGTCTATACATGGATGATGATGCTTCTTATCTTACCGGTTTGAGGAAGTGTGTTATGTACAAAAACAAAGAGAGCTTTGGATGGATCTAACTGCATCCTTTTGCTTAGCATATGGATGAAATGTCCAACAGTCATGTCTCGTGGGACCAAGTATCTACAATAAACCAATGCAGATACACAGATTAGAATAAGATTAATTAATTATTCACAATTAGACAGGTTACACTTTGTTAGTTCCAACAGCTAAATTGATATCACAACTCACTTGTTCTTCTCCATGTCTGGCAGATCTGCGTTTGAATATTTCTCAATGATCACCTACATAGTTAAAAAAGAAAAGACCATCAAATAAATGCTGGAAATTTGATGAAGAAAACCAACCAAGAACACATCCAAATCCCTAAACTAAATTTGTTTTGGTTGTTGTTGGTGATGATAGATTAAGATCTATATCAAATCTCAAATAAAAGAAGTCGTCTCCGACATTTACCAGAGAGACCAAAGTGATCGGATCAGTCAAATTTCAGATCCCAGATCGTATCCATCAAACAATGGCAAAGAAATTCTAAGATTGAACCCAAATTCCAAGAAAGTCTAGCAAATTCCAGAAAATTGAAGAAAAAGGATAGAGTCAAAATTAGACTAATCATTCGAACCCTAAGGAAATCCACAATCGCACGGCAACTGAAACGGAACCACCAAGAAACAGATAAAACGAATTCAAGCATGAAATAACTCACAGGAACTCTATCTGGATATTTCGCAATGATGTTGTTCGATTCCTTCAATCGCTCATCTACATCCCAAGATCCAAAACCAATGAAAACTTGCTTCAGAAGCAAATTTCGAGGAAAATTTCAAAGAATCAATAACAGATTAACGAACAAACCAGATGAGAATTGATCCTTGAAAGACTTGACAACGATACCCATTACAGATTTCCGACGAATGATTCCGACCGAATCGGTGTTTTTTGTTTGTTTGTTTGCAGAGAGCAGAGGATGTGTTCAATTTTTTGTTTGGTTGGTTCGTTTTTGATTGTTAGAGAAGAAACGGTAAAAGGTGAGAGAGATTATTTATAGAAGACGACACGCAGTTACCCGCAAGGCTAGTCAATTTTATCCACTTTTTGGACTTGTCCGATTTCTTGTGCACGTCAAGACTTTATCTTTTTGGGCTCTATTCATAATTTTTGGCCCATCAAAAAACATATCACAAAAAGATTTGTAGAAACTTCAAATTTCTTAATTCTGCCTATCAATCAAGAGAAGGATTCCTTCATATGTTTCAAAGAAACATTTAACATAATAAAAAAAAAAGCTTTATACACATAGCTGCAAGAACAATCAAGTGTATTACAAACTCTTTATTCTACTCTTTCAAGGTAACATCGATCTCTCTCTGCAAACCGCAATCATCCCGCCGGAAGATTCTCCATCTCTTTTGCAGCTACAGTGCGATCCATAAGCTTTTGCCTCTCTTGTTCCAAGTAATAGATTTTATCATTCATACCTTCCTTTGCATATGCCTCGACCATGATCTCAAACGTTCTTGAATCACATACGCATTGTCTCTCCTTCATTCTTGTGTACACTCTTTCCATCTCTATCAGATCATCGGCTTTGGCGCACGCTGCTATAACCGCGTTGTAAAAGGCAGTATTCTCGGGTATCTCAAACTTAGAAGCCAACTGGACACTACTTATCACCTTGTGGAAAAGACCGGCATTGGCATATCCATTTATGAGACAGCAAAAGGTCTTTGTGTCTGCTTTCATACCTTCGCTACGCATCTGATCAAATGTCAACTCCATGTTCTTTGCATCGCCAACATCCGCAAACGCCTCGATAATATTGTTGTAGGTCGATGTTGTCCATGGAAACTCTAGCTTCCGCATGTATTCCATGACAGACGACATCTTATCATACATTCTCTTCTTCCCATAAGAACCAATCAAAATATTGAAAGTCCGAGTCTCTGGCTCAATCCCGAAGTTCCTGAACTTTTCGTACCAGCTCTCCATCATGTCTATCTTACCCATGTTCCCAAACACACTAAGGATGATATTCATAGTCCACACATCGGGTTTGCAAGCAGTACTCACCAGCATATCAGACAACACTTTCTCCATTTGATCAAACCTTCCGACCCTACCGTACCCACTTAAAACTATGTTCTGGGTCACAGTGTTTGGAGTTATCAAACGCTCGTCCATTTCCTTGTATAACGAATCCACCAAGTCAAACTGAGAAGCGTCAACACACGCCTTGAGCAGAGTGCTGTACGTGAAAACATCAGGTTGGCATTGAGGCAAGCTTTTCATTGTATCAAGAATTGAAAAAGCATCGTCGATGAGATTGCTACGAGTGTAAGCAGCGAGAAGAGCAGTGTAGAGTTCAACAGTTGGTTCAAGTCCTTCTTCAAGCATTTCGTCGAACAGCTTCTGTGCACGATTGGGTTGACCAGATTTCCCCAGAAGAACAAGCAGCTTCATGTAAGTTCCTTCCTTTGGTTGATAAAACGTTTGTTCCCTCAACATATCGAAAACCTAAGATCATCAACACAACACCCAATTGAAGCAAAATCATATTTCACTAAATTCCTTAGAGAATCTCCAATTTGAGTTCAAATTCAATCAACCATGAAACGAGAAGAGAGAAATTCGAAATACCTCAAGAGCTTGTAACCACTGCTTCTTAGCGATGAGATCGGACAAAGTTTCAGTGACGGTGTTAGCCCATCCGTTAGCTTTGCTTCTCCTGTCAAGTTTCTTCTTCACATTCTTAATCGGAGTTCTTCTCGGATTAACAGGTTCCGTGATTCCGGGAAATTCGCCGTCTTTCCAAAGCCTCTTTTTCGTAACACTTCCCGGAGAAGATTTAGAAGCAGCCAAAACGCATCGTACGAAGCTCACATCTCTGTGACGAAACCTACGCTTTCCTTCGGGAATTCGAGACGAACATAGCGAAGAAGAAAAGGAGAGAGACATTGACGCCATCGTCTTCTTCCTAGACACCTCACTGGAAACAATGGCTGGAAAGCCACTTTTGAGAAAAAAAAATGCTGGAATGCCACTCATCTAATTTTTATTTCTGAGAGAATTAAAAATAAAGCAATTTAAATCAGAAAATTATGAAAAGACCAAAAACCCAAAAATCAAATCCCTAATTTCTCATTTTTTCCCTTGCTCTTGGAACAGAGGATTCGAATCTGACGGTCTCGATCCTTTTTGATCGGCGAATTTCACGTCATGGCTACGGCTGTTGGAGGCGGAAGCGATGTGGAGGTTGGATTTGCGAAGCTTCAAGGTGAGGATTTCGAGTACTATATGCAGTCTTACTCCATTATACTCGGCCGGAATTCTAAGAAAGCGACCGTCGACGTTGATCTCTCATCTCTCGGCGGCGGGTCCAGGTTCCAGGTTCGGGTAAGAAGGCCGTCCGGAGTAGAGAGTTGTATGAGTTCGATGTTGAAGATGATGATGTCGACGACGATGAGGAGGATATCAGGGGAAGTGAAAAGAAAACAAGGAGAGATGGATATGAAGTAGTATATGCTTCCGGAGGTAAAACCAGATTGCTCATGATAGCTTAATTTCATTGGGCAGCTAGATATGTTTCAGATTATGATGCTTACTTGATCAAATCAGGCTTGTTTTAGACTTTGAGTATAAGTTTTATTGTAGTGATTGCTACTTGAACCTTGTTAGACTTGGATTGAATGATAGTGACCCCACGACATTGTATATGCCTCATGTGTGCAGAGAAGAAGAGATCAAAGGTAGATCGTGAAGCTGATGATCAAAGGTATTTGTGTGTGTGTTTTTTGTGGAAATATGTGTCATCTTTGTTATACTTGGTGTGTGAGCAGATGTAAATATCACAGAGGAGGAAGCATTTGAGATTTTGAGGCTGGCTAATCAATCCTCAGGATCCAGTTCTTGCAATGGAAGCCGTTCTCTCATAAATGGTAACTCCTTGGAGCTCTATTGGGCTTTTCTTCTTAAATGATTCACTGAAGGATTCTCTTTTTGAACTTTCTAACAAACAAAGGAGCAAAGAATGCTTGGGATATGCTTCACGAGGAGGAGTCTTTGCCGCGCATTACTACATCTTGCTCTGATCTTGATAGCATTTTGGGTGGTGGAATAAGCTGTAGGGATGTTACAGAACATTAAGTGGTTCTACTGAGCTTGCTCCTGGTCCGCAGGTGATGGAACTAGCTCAGCAGAATCATCTCGATTCCACCTTTGTCATTTTGTTGTTATTTTTAGCATGTTGTAGAATACCAGAACCGCTGTAACCTTCCGCAACGGGCACAATCCTTGGATAGGTTTCGGAAGAAGAGGAATTCTAGATGTTTCGAGAAGAAAGTAAGATACGGTGTTCGCCAAGAAGTGGCCTTAAGGTCAGTGTATCATCAGTCTTGAGTTTTACCAACTTATGCCAAATTCTGCTTAAATCCATGAGTAGTTAGTTTTAAATGTCACATTTGAAGAGGCTGGAATCAAAAACATTGTAATCTTATATAGCTCCTTTTGGTGTTGAGAGATCCTACTGTGCCAAGGTTTGTGTTGTGGAATGGGAAACTGATATGTTGCCATCTCTTTTGCTTGATTTTGTGTAATACTTTTTGCTTGATTTTGGGTAGATGCAAAAAGATTAAATCATATGATTATGTTAGTGACTAATGCCCATGGCAACACATGACTTATGTTTTCGATTAAGCTTTTCATTTATATGTATCATATTGTATGCAATCGTTTATTTAGGTACAACTGGTATATTTAGATCAAGAACTGGAAAGAAAGCGCACAAGTCAAGTCTGCACGTACTTGTGGATTAAGATTGCACATGACTTATGTTTTTGTATTTCATTTTTGTATTTTGTTGTGTTGTGGATTAAGAACATATGACTTCGTATTTTTGTAAACCAAAAAAATATTTAGATTATATTTATGTTCAATTGGTTTTGTAGGTACAACTAGTCTATTTAGGTACAACTATGTGTATGGATTACTTATAAGAAAGTACAACTAGATCACTTTGGTACAACTGAGACAATTAAAAATAACATTTTAAAAAACAATTTTTAATAAATTTCAAAGAAGTAAAAAAAAAAAAAAAATTAAATATGATCCACGTAAGCATCATTTTTGGCGGCGGGATATTATTTTTAAATCATCACACGTGTGATAAAGTGGACCAAAGACAGCATGATATTAATAAAAAATTGTTTTGTTTTAAACATAGTTGTACTAGTTGTCCAGTTGTACTCACATGTTCATAGTTGGATTTTGGCGATTTTTGCGTATTTTCAGTTGGACTTTAATAAAAATTAGTAATTTTAAGTTGGACATATGTTGTTACACTATTAATTATCATTTAAGAAGTTTTCATAATACAATTTGTACGAAATCATAATTTTCACCTATTTTGCATCAAAAGAAGTGATCACCTACAAAGTGTTCCTTGTACTATAAGGAGTGTTTCATATGAAAACAATAGTATGCACTAGGAAAATGATAAATTCAAGTTTTATTTATTTAAAATTGTTTCTTTTTTAGTTCAACATGTTTTTGGAATCCTTGTTAACTCTAATTTATCGTTTTTCTTATTTGTTGAATACACATACGGATACATTTATGGTCTTAGTTGTACCTTGTCAAAACCTAATTATACCCAGTTGAACATAGTTGTATGAATACGACAAGTACATATACTGATACATATATGGTTATAGTTATAGTTTTAGCTGTACCCAATATATTTATGGTCTTAGTTGTACTAGTCGGTCAATCTAGTTGTACCCAGCCTTGTATGAGATCTTGGCACGTTTCTTTGCTAAAACATCGCCTAATACAGATATCCCGTTCCTACCATACTCATCATCCACAAAGATCGCAACAACTTCTCTCCATCGGAAATAGGATACAAAATCCGCGATTGCATTCATCTGGAAGTAGTCGTTCTGTGTGGTACGAAGGAAATAAGGGAAATCTTAATTTATAATTTAATAAAAATTATAATACAATGAACGTAATTTAACTAGTGAACTAATAGTATAGATTAGGAAAATGATAAATTCTAGTTTTAATTATTTAAAATTATTTGTTTATAGTACACATACGTATACTAATATGTTCTTAGTTGTACCTAGTCGAACCAAGTTGTAATAATAATTTTCCTTCCACAATATCATATATTTACTTTGAAATTAAAATACCCAAAGTACAACGTCGTTAGCAATAATATAATAACCAAATCTAGTCTCTCTATCTAACCAACGTTACTTGGTTTTCACCATTTTTCTCACTGCAATAGCTATGAACCCTGCTACACAAAGAGACGCCAACCATCCACCGGCTTTACAAACATTCAATTCAACGTTACTTGACTCTTTGCCTGTGCCAACTCCATTTCAGTTTCAACAATTCTCCTCTCAAGATCTCTATAAAACAGCTACATTGGGTATTAGTACATGCAGAACAGAAAAACATGTTATGAGAAAAGAATCCAGCTTACTTGCATCCAAGGACTAGCAGCTTGTCCTCCACCGTAAGAACCTTAGGCCTCTATATACTCCACAAGAACATGATGAAAAGACAAAACATTTGATTAGTGAAAATGACCCGTTTGAATGAATACTGGTTTCTTCTATTCAAGAGAGGCACAAGAAAGACCAACCTGATCATAATTCTTCTTAAGCACAGTATTGAGTGCTGCTCTGTACTGTGCATCTTGCCACAACCTAAACGTAAGAACAACACCATATTAGAGATCAGAACCAATTGATACCGATCCAGTGATCGAATTTGAGCTTGTGATTGGTAGATTACTGTAATGGAACTCAAACCCAAAATACACATTGCAATACAGTTATATCTGAAATTATAGAAATCTAGACTGGCAACAAATCTGTGGAAAAATGTAGAAAAAACGGAAGAATCTAGCATCTTCGAGATCTATCAACAACTATGAAAACAATGTTCCATCACCATCACGATCTTCAAAACTCTAAACAATTCAATTCCGACAAAAGAACAAATCTAGAATCAATGAGATTTGAATACTCACAGGAATTGAAATCAGTCGGAAATGGAGAAAAAAGGGACGTACCGGCCAGAGCCAAGCTAGACAGGAGAAGAAGGCTAAGATAAGAGAGGGCTTGGAGGTGTTCTGAGACTTAGAAGGCCTACCTCGCCGGTCTGATTTAGCTGAGACCGTCGTTGGTAAGCTCTCCATCTCAATCCACGGCGAGAGGGAGAGAGATCGGAGGAGGCAGAGAGACGAATTCTCAGATACAAAATCAAGAAAGTGAACAAGGAGAAGCAAATCTAACAAGTAACAGATGACGGCCAAATAATCGAGCTCTCAGCAGCTCCGGGGAATCTTCAGCGTGTCAGGGGAGAGATGACAGAGATGGAAAATGTTGAGATTGGATCGAGTTTGAGATTTCTCTCCCTCAGCTCGATTTCAATTTTGTTTTTTTTTTTTAATTAAATCAGATAAATCATTAAGGGTATAAGGGTATTATCCACTCTATGGATGGCATTCAGACTCTAAAGTGGCAGTCGTGATTCTCATTTCCGGTTCAGTGGCAAACTAGCCTTGGTCTCACCTCACTGTCTGTCACTCTGTTACGGATAATTCCCGTCGATACTCATTTCGGTTGGATATGGTAAAATACCGGTTTATATAAGCGAACCGGAAACACATCTTAACCGTTCAAATTGTAAAAGCTCAATCAACAACCTTTAGAACCGGACCGTATTTTTAAATAAGATCATAGTATATATTAACTTTAACCTAATAACAAAATAACGAATTATAGTATTAAAAATAAATTTTATATAAAATTTTATTATTTTTTTACTGCGCAAAAGATGGTAACAAACAAAAAAGAGATCTTTGGTTGGATATACAAAAACACAATCTTGACTAAATTCCATAGAAATATGCCAAAGGGAAAAAAAATCGAGAGAAAATATTGACGTCTTCCCTAAAATCTCCTTCTTTACCTCGTTAGTCTTCATTTTGTCTTCGTCTGCTTGGTCGATTTCACAATGATGAACGTGAAATATATTCGTATAATCATAGGAATTATTGGTACGATCTTTTATTTTTGTGGGAATTTATCAATCTATAGCCGTGTATGGTACTGACTCCATACATGGGCGTAGTTAATTGTAGTAGTGATTTAAATCCAAAGCTTTATAGATGTAATTAATGCGGAACTAAATCAATATATACAACTTTTCTCTGGCTTGATGCAGGGAATGTTCTGTCGACTTTGATCTCCCTCTCACATATGTAATAATCCCTTTTCTTCTTTTCGCATTCGTTTTGTGTATGTTTGTGTTTATATATCTACTATATTGCGAACGTTAATCTGTATATATATATCGGCTAGGGTTAATAATGAGTGTTATACTGTATTGTTTAGACCAAAAAAGAAAGAAAGATAAGGATTATTGTAGTGAAGAGTTATAAGCATTTTCATATGTATATATATATACAGGCCAGAGTATATACAAATATACAAGAAGAAATCAGTGGAGGGAGTTAAACCTGATCGTCATATACTGATGTTGATTCAATGTAGTTTGTGGGTTTTGTATGGTCTCCCTGTTGTTCACAAGGACAGTATTCTCGTCACCACTAGTAATAGTATTGGTTTCGTTAACGAAGTAATCTATGTGGTTGTCTTTTGGATCTGCTGTGAAGACGAATCACGTGTAGGTCCATCTTTTATACTTAGATATGTCTAATTCTGCATATTGATTTTGATGATGTTGATGTTGATGTGCAGAAGATTAATGTTAATCTATGTCTTCTGGCTGTGTTTTATTTTGTGACATCGTTCTATGTGATTACTATTTGGGCAATTGAAAGTTTATTCGCCAAGTATACACTCATTGGGATTGTTTGCAACATTTTCAACATTTGTATCTATGTTTCATTTGCCAAGGTAAAGCTTTCTCTCTCTCTCTCACTCTCACTCTCATTGATGGTTAAGTATTAATTAGCGGTTTTGATTAGTTTTTTTTTTTTTTTAATTCGTGCAACAATTAGAAAAAAATGCTGGAGAGTAAGACCTTCAAGTACATGCCGTTTTGGCTGTCGTTAGTTAGTTTCATCAACGCTGGACTTTGGACTGCTTATTCTTTGATCTACAAAATTGATATCTACCTCCTTGTAAGTCCTTTTTTTTTGGCTTGAAAACTTAATGTATTAATTGATTTCCATTAACAGATTGAATTTCATTTATAACATTTATTTTGTTCTTTTTGTGTTATGGGACAGATATGCAGTGGTCTTGAAACGTTGTTCTGTGCTTTTCAATTAATAGTCCATGCTTGTTCTTACAAGCCACACCAAGTCGGCGTTATTGTTTGAAGTTTGGTGTTAGAATCTATGATACTTGCATATTTTATTTTGTCTTGTGTTGTAAGTTGTAACCAAATATGTTTTTAGATCTTTCATTCGACAATCAATTTTTCTTGCGTTTTTTTAGTTTATGCTTGTTCCTACACTCTAAGCAAACTATGCGTTACTTATTGAAGTTTGGTGTTTGGATAATACTTTGGTATGCATGTTATGTGTAAGGACTTATTATTAAGAAATCGACATGCGCAGACATTTTGAAAAAAATAGAAGTGTTATTTAGTAGAAAATATCAACTTTGCGTAGCCAAAAAAGATGGTTTTAAAGAATTCAAAATTCAACAGCTATAACTTTTAAAAAAATTTCAACTCATACGTGCTTCTTTTTTGACTAGAAATAACTCAGAATCTCAGATATATTCTATCGACTGCAACAAATATTGGAAACGGTGAGAAAGCGGTGGTTCTTCAAGTGAAAGATAAATTATCATCATTAGTGAGAAATGAGAATGTGTTAAGGGGTTGGTATAAATAAAGAAAAATATTCAGGAGGTTTTCTTCTTTACACTAATATAAAACGTTTGATATTTAATTAGAATATTAATATTAGGATAAACACGTTTAATTTATACTTATCTCCATATATAATCATAACAATAACATTGAGGAAAACTAAACAAAATTTTAAAAATGTAAAAGCCTTTAAAAAATCCAATTCTTATGATTTGTTAGGCCATGTATTAAGAGTTGTTAATCCACAATCACTAAAAACATATTGAAAAAAAAAAATCTTTGGAAACTCTGCTAGTATAACTAAATGATTTTATCTTCATAGTTTTTAATGAATACAAAAAGCATAATGAATTTACTCTAATTAAGCAATAGAAGTGATTGAATGAAATGCAACGAAGAGATAATAGTGTTATTATTTAGATGTGACTCGGCCATTACATTGAGAACAGAATTGAGCTGTTTCAAGATCACGAATTACAACCACCATGAAAACACCCATGAAAACAGCTGAGAAACCACAAATGAATCCCTGAATCGCATCCTTGCCTTCGGTGAAACATAGACAAATAAGTACTGACCACATGATAACACCTAAAGATTTTCCGACGTTAAATTCCTCCACGGGATGTGATAACTGGAAGATCGCAATGCCACAAGTGATCACAGAAATTGCAAACACCACTCCAAAGTCACTATGGCATGTGAACAGTGAACGCAATAACGAATGCAGTCATATAGACGCAAAAGGGGTAAAACCATTCCAAGTGTGGTCCGATCTTGTGACTTGGAGGTGGACGATCGAAGAAGAATGTTCGGGCGAGACCAATGGCATAGAGAGATGTGAGAACTACTGCTAAGTATTTAGAGTTTGGGATCTCAACGAGCGTTCCGTCCTCTCGCTTGGACGGCCAAAGAGCACCACTGGAGTAGGCAAGACCAATTAGAGAAGACACTGCCAAAACATAATAAATTGCACGGCCAATTGGAGTGACGACCTCATCATAGGGTTTCCTATCTTCCATCTTGATTAAAGACAACATATTAACACAAAATTCATAGATAAAAAATAGAAATTAAACCTTAACGAGAACTCACTTTGGGGTGGGAACGGTTGCAATCATTGTCAGGCGATAGGGTTGTACAACATGTAGACATTGTCCCAAGGATACAAAAATTATGAGACGAATTATTAAGGGTAAGAGAAGATCGAACTATAACTAATTAAGAGAATATACTGTATGTTTGTTTTAGATGATTTTGTTTCTTGTTTTCTTCCTATACCTAACCTCACGGGAGTTGTTACAGTCCATTATATCGTTCATTTTTTCTTCCCATGTTTATCTCTAATTTGGGTACCAACTGGAAATCATTTTATTTTTTAACGGGATAATTAAAATCAATGGTAGATTAAAAAATAACTTTCTTTGAAAAACTAAATAGTCCCACTTTTCTATAACAGAAAAATATGTGGAAAGATTTCTAAATCTATTTCACTAAATTTATCCATGCTTGTTCCGTTTATTCATCTAATCTGATTTAATTCCATCCCTATATAATATTTGAGGAGTTTATTCATCCTTTTCGTTTCTAATAAAATTTTAACCTCAAGAATCCTTCCATCCATTATTGATCAAAACCAATTAACTTAATTTGAAGCATATATCATATCAAATTAAGTTGAGAATCTCATAAACAAATACTTTTTCTATTGGTACGACGAGAATAATCATTGGCATGACACATAAGAGGGCAAAAATAAATAAACAAAAACCAAAGTATTCATGAAAAGTAGATTAACTAAGCAACATTACAGAGTCTGATCAAATTCCATATGCAAATGGATTACAATGTTGATAACATTAGAAAAAAAGGGACAAACTCAATGATATGACAGAATGTAAAACAAAGAAAATAAAGTCTCTTACGAACTAGATCTGACAATCATTTTGAGAGAAAAGTGATTCAATAGAAACTGAATGCCCTATGAGTCGGTCCAGGATAGTTGAAATAGTAGATAAACAATTCAAAAACATAGAGAGTAAAAAAGCAAAACCAAAATGGCTGGATTTTGGGATCATAATAACAGGCATATAGAGCTGAGAAGCATCCAAATACCAAAATGACCACTACATAAAAGAAGTGAAATCCGTCGACTGGGAAAACCAACTGAACGAAAACAAAAATTCCAAAAACAATTGATAGGATCAAAACAGATACGACAAAGGTTGGGAAATTGAAGACGGTAAAGTAGATGATGGTAAATAGTATCAGAGGGACAACCATTCTCACCCATCGATGTGCTCTATAAACGGGAGATGGAGCTTCAGAGAAAATGGAAGTCAAGACTTGAATCACATAGAGAGATACAACAACCATTCCCAGATACTTGTAACCGACATACATCTCGATCTTCAAGGCATTCACAGCACTCACAGCTCCAAAAACGCAGAGAAAAGCCAAAATAGTCCAACCAGTTCTGGTTACGGGATCATTCACACCAAACACTATAACTCTCTCGGGAATTTTCGTCCTTCTTTTTCTATTGTTGTTACGCTTAGATTTTTTGGCCATTGTTGCTGGAATTTTTTTCTAAGAAATGGAGTTAAGATGATGAACTGCCACGGAAAATATATTTTTTCAAAAACAACATAGTTTTTTTAGCTAGGTTGTTACAGAGTAAATGGAGAAAATCGGAAAAGTAAGTAAAACCATGTGCTGCTAATGGAAATAACTAAACTTAAAACGGCTATAATTAATAGTGACTAAATAAGCGGTGATTTTCTGGATTGATCAGACAAATTATCATTTCACATATCGTAGAAACAGAGAACAAGAAAGGTTACTTGTTTTTGGTGTTACTTGTTTCGTTTTTGAGGATTACAAGCAAGTTATGCAGAGAAGAAGCAAAGCCAGATTGTGTGTGTATGGCGTTTGATGTCTCATGTCGAAGAAGTGGTCTTGTTTAAAGTTTTAGTTGATATAGTACAAATTATCATCTCACATGAGAAGATATTGTAGAAACAGAACCAGAAAGGTTACATACTTGCATGCTCGAGACATTTATTCGCAGCAAATAGATTGGTTCTCTTTTTGCAGCTTCTCCCAAAGACACAAAATTAATCGAGGAGTTTGGTAATGAACAAGAATGTAATTTGATTTACAACCACTGTTATGAAATCTTTGGTCATTGATGTACTTCACTCTTTTTATTGTCTCGTTGAATTGTTGAATCCATATCCCCATCGCCACATCTTCCAGCTTGAAAAGCTTTCAACAAACAACATAAGAACATCCTCAGTTATGATCTCTCGGATTCGTCATATCTAAACTCTATGATGATGAAACTACAAAACTCACTCTAAGATCTCTTTGACGGTGACCCTTCACCACAAATTTCGCGATATCATGAGAGATGATGTAGCCAGGGCCATGTGCCCATGGAGGGTATGAATCTAAAGGCCATTCCTTTACAAAGAGAAAGCTATATATGAGTCTCTAAGAGGATAGAGCACACAGAGGTGTGAGAAATATTGAGAAGTTTTTACCTCTTTACGGATAAACCATTTGCTGCCTTGTTCACGGTCCGGTGATGAATCAAATGATATCAAACCGTACAAAAGGGCACTAGACGGTTTTTCTTTTAGACTTGATAGGAGTTCATCAATCCGCACAAACGCATCATCATCCGTCTTCATTATGTATTTTGCTGGGATGACTTTGGTCTGTATCAACATGGAGAAACACCAGAGAGAGAGAGAGAGAGAGATTAACCAAGACAAGGCAAGAAGTGATATCTCACAGTTTCTATGTTTTGTGTAAACAGTAGCTTACCCCGAGAATGCAAAGCGCAACTGTTTTCAAGCTAAGTAAACCATAGTAATCAACAAATGGCATAAACTGAATGTCTCCATATGCCTTAGATTCTCTCCACATCTCTAAATTGACTTTTTCCTTTGTGTGCTGAGTAAAAGAAACGCCAAGTTATTGCTAAGAAATGTATAAATCCAAGGAGAAATGTTAACTTGCAGATGTACTTACAAGGCCAATGAGAAATCGAACAGCCACTTTGCCAGATCTTACTGCCTCGTATTGCATCCAAGATCTTCTCAATGCCATACGCCGCTTAAAATTATTTCCAGTGGAGAAAACACCCACCAATAGTTCTATTCTTGTCCCGGAAAGAGATGGAGCTTTAAATTTCTCTTCTATGATTAAAGAAGCATGGTCATCGGGAATGGGCAGTCTTGTGGCTAAGACAGATAACATTTTCAAACCACCTGAGACTTTGACTGCACTGACTAACCATGGCTCGAGCTTCTGCAAATTAGATATGTCAGTTTTAAAAAAAGCAACAACCTCAAAACTAACTTGGTATAGTCATCCTTTACCTCCCTGTAAGCAAATGAAGTCTCGTGCCGCCCATTTATCGTCATATGAAAACCTTCTAAGCCAAACCACAATGTGGCAGTGAAAGGACTCCCTTTGAGAAATGGAAAATTAGCATTTGAAAGAGAAAATTCCATAGTTGCATCATCGTTGGAACTCTTTTCCGAAGTGATTCTACCGGTCTGTTTGTTGCAGAGAGGAAGTTGATCAACTACATTGGTTGCCAAGAGACTTTTCAATAATCCATCAAGATGACATAAAAGAGCAAAGACATGTGAGTTCTGTTACCTAAATGATTTTTAACTGATCCATGATCTGGGCATCGCACATCGTTTCCCCAACCGAGCTTTTCTGTCCATGTATTTTGCACTATGGATGGCCTAGAAAAATTCACATTGTAACGCAAGATTATTGGCCGACGGGTTTCGCCTGATAATTCTGAGCCAACGAGCTGAATCTGGAAGCTACTAGAATGTTCATCAGGAATACCAACCAAAGTTACTGAAGAATCTTCAATTAAACCACAAGGAAGCTCAAGTAGTACATGCCTTAAACCAGACAAATCCTCATCAAATGCAGTGACAAAATCCGGACAGTTTCTTCCAAGTTCCTTGGAGACCATAGCAGAAAAAGAAGCTCCTTTCTCTTTATTGATCAGAAAAACCAAATCTTTCATCGCCAAAGTAGCTTCTTCAATCCCTTGAGCAGTTTCTGGCAAAGCATCTGGCCTTTCAAAAAATGGACGCATACGAGACCATACAAGCAATCCATTGGACTCTTCTTCTTCCTCTCCTCCGAAAAAGCTCTTGTTTGAAAAGAGATAATCAAGATCTTCCAAAGTCATCAAATGTGGCTTCTTTGCTGGTTCATGAACACTCTCTCCTTGTATACTAGAATCATCCACAGTGTGATTCGTTGAAAATTTGTGATCAGATTGTTCATAACGGATGATAAAGATCAATGTAAGAACCATAATGGAGACTCCCACCAACCAATCCCTCATTCTGACTGAAGTGAAACCAACTTTGAATCTCACCACTGACATGAATTGCATCATTGAGTATCCTATGGAAAACCCAGATTCCGTATTAGAGTTAGCATAATTAAAAAAGGAAGAACTCAAACAATGGTCAACGAACTTTGGAATCGGTGTTGGATACTGAGACATAACTAACCAGAGACATTTAAGCTAAAAGACGAAAGACTAAACGGAATTGGTGCAGAAAGGATCAGTCTTGAATGGATATAAGGAGACCCAGAAGCAAGATCATGGTAAATTGTTGTTTAATATAATTGTAGCACAAACAGGGAAATATAGCTCAAAAGATAGTTTCGGAAACATCTAAGTCACTGTTTCAAGAGCTGAAAAGTTATCTTCATTGTAAAATAGAGAAACTTTACCCGTTTTATATTGATTTCTGCTGATCTTTCAACTAGATAATTCATGAAGATCCAAGATCAGTCAATTGCAGTTGCAGAGCCCAGACAGAGAAGACGAAAGCATTACCAAGCTGAAGCAGTGAATCTTGTTGCTATAACCAGTAGGAACTAAACGATGTCGTTTCTATAACAACGAAACGTTGTCGTTTTCTAGAATAACGAAGTGATGTCGTTTTTACAACAACGAAATCGATGTCGGTTTATTGACAATGAATATGATGTCGGTTTAAATTTTTTGCATCGCTTTGTTTTGGACTCTTGGATACTAAACTAGGGACTAAGAAAGTTTGTCATATTTTGAACTTGGAGCTCAAAATCATTTCACATTTTCCTGAAATAATCAAATTCTCCGAGAGAATAATCTCTTTTTCATTTCTTAAATCTCATAATGACAGACAAATGGAATAACTTAGCTATATAGGATTGGTTGGTTAGAACAAATCTGAATAGAGAGAGAACACTATACTATACTGTTTACTAAACAGACTTTCCTAAATTAGAAAGTCTCTGTTCTCCTCCTCCTCCCGCAGCGGATCGTGGACTGAACGGAGCTCTTCCAGCGGGAGACCTTGGACTAGTCTCTCCTCCTCCTCTGAAATCGCTTAAGCTCCGGATATACACTTTCTCTGACACTCTTGGATTCTGAAAACTCACCACTCTTCTCATCAACTCCACTCCTCCCGCAGGCGAACCTACCGTCGATCCACTTCCTCCACCGAGTTTCAAGCTGCTCACTTTCCTTATCTCTCCTCTGCTTCTCGTAAACATTCCGTCCATCACTTCTCCACTATCCGCAAACGACGTTGCACGGCTCACTTCCCCTTCCTGCACAAAGAAGAAGAGAGCAGTTTATTACCGGTATATTTTCGATAAAGCCTTAAACTTTTGTAGAGAAGAATAAAAAGAAGAGAACTAATTACCGGTTTGAGATTGAATGATAAGATAGCAGGTGCTTCTTCATACTCTGCAGCATCCAAGTCTTGAAGATGAGCTCCTTTGAAGAAATTAGGCAACACATATTGTCTAACCGGAACAAGAAACATTATCATCAACGGGAACAAAACTCCAGCCACCGGAACCCACGTGATCCCAAAGCAGACCAGCAAGTACGCCGCTTGAAACAGAGTAAACATCGCCATTGTCTTAAACGGAACCGTTTCAACAAACACCGCATGATTATCCTCGAGAACTCTGCACAAAAAAAGAGACCAAAGTTCACAGAGCTATGAGAATGCAGCAACAGCAAGATTGTCTGATTGATGAAGAAAGGTTTGTTTTTTACTTGAATCTTCTGCTTGGGGCAGTGAAGAGAAGCACGATCCTTTCCCAGAATTGATTCCCTGGGAGGCTTTCGATTGCCATGTAAGCGAAGTAACCCCAAAGAACTGAGCTTGGGATTCTTTTGATTAAAGGCATTGCTGCAACACATCCAGCCACCATCATAGCTTGAAGAAAGTTACTTACTCTTTGTTCTTTTACTTCCACTGGCAGTATATTCTCGACTTCCGTCTCTATATCGAACACTGTTTCATCGACAAGGGCATCGGCGTTTGAAGCCTTTTGAGTATGTGACTGTTTGAGCCCCTGAATCTGATATTGCACCGTGCTTGATCAGGAATGAGTAAAAAGGTCATATTATAAACTGATATATAAATATATATAGATGATCCCAACATACCCGAGAAGGCTCTTGGTGTATCAGAGGGCTCTGCATTTGTTGGTAAGCTTCTTCCATGCTTACATAGACTTCTCCTATTGTTGCATTGTTTCTGATACATTTACGTGCAGCTGCCACGAGTTTGTTTCGAAGTAACTGCACATCAACCAGTTTTAAATGCCTTTTGAGATATACAATTGAATGCCTAAATAAAACACAGTAAGATATATAATCAAACCTGGTGATTCAGTGTTGCCAAGCTTTTTGTGTGCATTGGAGACTGAGGGATGACACCATTGGATGGAGGAATCCCGATGAGACCGCAAAGGATTGTCTACAGAAGAAGAGAGTTCCAACCTTTAATATATTGTAAATAGTCAAGTCAGTAAATCAGTCAAGAAAAATAGATACTTCATCTCTTACCAAGAAACCTAGAAGAAACAGATCATAATGGTAAGCAGGAGGCCTTCTCAGATTGAAATCTTCCTGCTGTGCGAGCTGCGAAGCTACACTATGGTCAAAGTAGTAAAGAACCGCAATCATTGACGCTGGAACAACCGCTAATATAATGTAAAGCACAGGCACATCCACCATCTCCTGCAGTTTATTCATCATGCACTTTGATGATTATCAACATAAAGCATTAATAGTAAAGAGAATCATAAGTAGAGAGGATGTGACTAGTGCCTTAATGACAGTCCAATTCTGATATGCACCAGGAGACCATGGATTAGGACTAACAAGACGTCTTGGTATCCCTTGAGGAACACTTTTCCAAGGTATGTATGATATACAAGTCCACACTACCACCATCACTGGAACACCATAATCTGCTACAAACCCGCGTAACCATTCTGCAATGACAAAGATACCGATGTTCCTGAGGTTCTTGCTTAGAAAAATAAATGACTTTTTAGACATATTTTTTGGATCTTGATTCACAGTTTGAATAAACATTAAGGTTTCTTACCAGCACCAAATCTCCAAGACCTTGCTTTTCTGCTTTTCAGTGCAGTATACAGAAGTCCAGAAGACAAAACCAAACCAAACATTCCATTTGCAAACACCCAAGCAGGTTGAAACTCAGTTGATCTTGGATTTGTTCTTCCGGGAACACCAAACTCATCCACAATGCCCTGAAAGAGTAGAGTTTCAGCATAAAGTACCAATCTTTTGTTGCAACTGCTAGTATAAGTTAATTGAATAAAGAAAGCTCTTTTACTTACTCTAATGGCTTCTTGCATGAAAAGCATGGCTATTAGGATACCAAACAGTTCCCCGGCAAGTCGAGTGAATCGACTGATGAAGGTGCAAGCGCCTAATACAGCTAACAAGAACAACAACAGCCCCGTCCACAAGCAAACCCTTAAAAAGAAATCACCAATGAAAACAAAAAGACAATGCCTCATCTCATAAAGTTTTGAGACTTTAAAACTTCTTGAAAGGAACTGAGCAATGCAAAGAGAAACATTTGAGTTTACCATCCGGTCCACGCGAGAAAGAGATTAGAGCCCAAATCCGTTCTACTTTTAGCGAAATTGAACATGAAGGTGTACATTATAACAGTAGGCTCTGCAACACCAAGAATCAACAATGGTTGTCCACCAATAATGGAGTGAATCACTCCACACAATGCTGTCGAAACTAAGGTTTGAACAGCAGTAATCTTCCCATCTTGCCAAGTTGCAAAAGAAACAAAACACACAAGTTTGATGTTACTCTCATTAAAATCAAAGATAGTAAATTAAATTTGAATGAGAGACCAAGAAAAGCCATTCATATACCAGTATCTCTTTCCAACTGTTCTCCAAAAGTAATCACCGGAATAGCGGATGCAAAGAATATGTAAGTTGTTGGTGCCAGAATCCTATCATATTTTTGCATAAATTAAGTTAATATCAGAGCTCAAGCATGAAGCATCAACACTTCCTGAAAATTGAATATACCTAAATCCAGCTCTGAGACCACTGATCCAATCTTGCTTGTAGCATTTGAGTCTCCCTTTGACATCCTTCTTTATGCCCTGAAACGGGACAAAGCTGTCTGCTTCGTCCATGTAGATTTGGTGTGTTCAAGTTTTCAATCCTACAAAACAACACTTAGTTCTGTTAAAACTCAAATCCTATGAAATCTATCTAGAACAAGACAAAGCATTTCGTAACCAAGATTGGAAATATAATCCAACTAGAATGATTCAGATTCAATGCTTTTCCAGTAGCTGAAACTGGTTTCACTAGTAACCAAAATAAACAAAGAGTAACGAATAAATCTTAATGGCTTGATACCCTTTTAAGTACTAAGAAACTCAGATCCGAATATGAATATTTGCAGGAACCTTAAAAGAGAACCCAAAGAAATGTCTTCAAAAGCGTTAATTACGGAGGAGGTCTTAAAAAAGAGTTGTGTAGATTTGATGATGGGTGATTTGGCAAAAAGTAAACAACTTTACAACACATTTTGTACGGAAAGCTCAAAGAAAAATCAAAAGCTGGCGAGAAGTAAAAAGCAATGGATTCAAGAATGACTGAGAGAGAAAAGAAGAGAAACACTTACCAGAGACAAATCAGCTCAAAATGACTAAAAGAAGACAACTTTAAAAGACTCAGAGAAAAGAGCTTTCGTTTTCTAGGCTTGAATCTCTATAAAAGAGCCGTGGGAGATTTTTTATCAGTTAAAAACTGCTGCAGATTAAAAATGTTGGAGAAGAAAGAAAGATAAAACTAAAGTAAACATGGGATTAAAAAAAAGAAGTTAGTGTGATGTGCTGAGATCTGACGAGAGGAGAGAGATGTCTGTCTCTGTGTCTTTGACTCGTGTTTCAGACAATGCTCGTAATTGGTCGGTTTTGTACACTTCTTCCGCCTAACACGGCGTTTTAATGTCTCTTTTTCGATAAATGAGATTAAGTTAAGAGTCAAGTTGGTTCATTCATCTCCTCTCGCTCTCCCCAAACTAAGACATTTTAGATTTTTGAGTCATACGTTTTCTCGGATTGATGATTTGGAATCTTTTTCCAAAAGATGTCACATTTATGACAATGACGATTTACATGATTTATTGGGCTTTTTGTTTTTTTTTTGGGACGAATTTTCCGAATAAATATCTTCTTTTTACTAGCTAGTGGCATCCTAAACATCAATGATAGTTTGTTTTACATGTAAAAATATAAGAAATGTGTTTAGACTTTTCAGATGTTTTCAATTGTTTTGGTTAAGTCCTACCAAAATGGGTTCCAAGCCCAAACAAAATAAAACGATATAGCCTCTTTATATTTTATAAACCACAATTTTCAGTCTCCAAGCCCAAACTTCCCCTTATGCACATATTTTTCTTTTTCTTGAACATTATGCACATTGATAACTATATTTTACGTTATTACCTTCCCACGTTATGCATGATAAAAACAATTGATGATGCATTCTTTACGATATTACCTTCCCACGTTATTCAAATGGGCTAGCCTCTGATGATCATGATCCCTTCGTCTCTCTCCTGTATCAGCGCCGGGGACGACGTGTGAGTGTGAGTATTCACGACGCAATGGCATCGTTGTACTTCATGTTCCAAAACAAAAAAGAGGACGCAATGCCATCATCGGTTTACTCCATTAATATGTATATAAACCATATCATATATCGTTCGTACTCAAACTTCAATTCATATAAACTAACTTCGCTGGATAAATGGCATCGGTTTACTCCACCCTAACCTACTGGCTCGTCCACCACCCCTACATCGCCAACTTCACATGGACCGAAGGTGAAACGCTAGGCTCCACGGTCTTCTTTGTCTTCGTTGTCGTCTCCGTTTACCTCTCCACAACATTCCTCCTCCGATACACCATCGATTCACTCCCCACACTCGTTCCCCGCATTCTCAAACCAATCACAGCCGTTCACAGCCTCATCCTCTTCCTCATCTCCTTAGCCATGGCCGTTGGTTGCACTCTCTCCCTAATATCGTCTCAAGATCCCAAGGCCAGCGTCTTCCACGCGATTTGTTTACCCGTCGACGTGAAACCTAGCGGACCGCTTTTCTTCTGGGCTCAAGTCTTTTACCTCTCCAAGATCCTCGAGTTCGTAGACACACTTCTCATCATACTCAACAAATCAATCCACCGGCTCTCGTTTCTCCACGTCTACCACCATGCAACAGTTGTGATCATGTGCTACCTCTGGTTACGAACACGCCAATCTATGTTTCCTGTTGGTATCGTGATGAACTCGACGGTCCACGTCATCATGTACGGTTACTACTTCCTATGTGCCGTTGGATCGAGGCCCAAGTGGAAGAAGTTGGTGACGAATGTTCAGATTGTTCAGTTTGTTGTCGGCTTGGGGTTAGGATCCGGCGCTATGCTCCAGCATTATTTCGGGTCGGGTTGCTCCGGGGTTTGGGCACTTTATTTCAATGGTGTGTTTAATGCTTCTCTATTGGCTCTCTTCTACAACTTCCATTCCAAGAACTACGTGAAGACAACTACAACCTCGAGTATGTATAAGATTGAATCATTTATATTTATAAACGGAGAGAGGTGGGCAAAGAAAGCGATTAGATTATTTTCCAAGAAAAATGATTAAATTGTCTTGAGTTGTTGAATATTATATATGTTGTTTGGATCTGTACGTTGATGTGTTGTTACTGTAAAATGTTTGGAATAGTTAGTTTGAAATTGTTTTATGTATTATATATGAATAAGATGACAAAAGGTATTTAAAATATGTCACAACTCACATGCATAAATCATCATGATCATATCGTCTGATTCTTGTTATTCCATACATCTTTCTACAATATAAGTAAAACATTTGCCATTTGCCAACCAACGTTTTTTTAGAAGTTTAAAACAGAGATTAATTAGTCAATAAATACACCAAGTTTTAAAATCAATTCCCTCGTCTACCTCTGTATAGACAACCCCAATTCCCTCGTCTCTCAGACAATGGAGTTGAGACCACGGTTTTAAGAGCCGCCGCTGCTACAAGCTAGGACTATTCTCTGTGAGATCTGATGAGAGGAGAGAGATGTCTGTCTCTAAGTCTTTGACTCCGGTTTCAGACAATGCTCGTGATTGATTGGTTTTGTACACTTCTTCCGCCTAATTAACACGGCGTTTAAATGTCTCTTTTCATTCTTTTTACCAATTTTTCTATAAATGAGATTAGTTAAGAGTCAAGTTGGTTCATTCATCTCCTCTTGCTCTCCCCAAACTAAGACATTTTAGATTTTTGAGTCATACGTTTTCCAAAAAAAATGTCACATTTCTGACAATGACGATTAATTAACTTGATTTATTGGGTTTTTGACATTTGTTTGGACGAATTTTCCGAAGAAATATCTTCTTTTTAATTACTAGCTAGTGGCATCCTAATCACATTTCTAATCTACTATTGGGCGTTGATTTCCAGAGATCGATTTTTCACTGATTAGAAAATAGTTTGTTAACCCTTTTATATTCATTTTTTTTTAGTATTTTTCTCGCATAATCTATACTAATACACTCGAGGACAACTCAGTTTGATTGCTAATTATTACATCCATGATAGTTTGTTTAGAAGTTAAGCATCCAGCTAATATACCGAAATGGGTTAAGTCCTGATTGGACCTGATTTTTCAGATGTTTCAATTATTTTGGTTAAGTCCTACTAAAATGGGTTCCAAGCCCAAATTTTTTGAAACGATAACCTCTTTATATTTTAGAAAAGACAATTTTCAGTCTCCAAACCTCCTCTAATTAAGAACACATATTTATTTTTCTTGAACATTATTAATGATCATGCACATTGATAATTAGATTTTACGATATCACCTTCCCACGTTATGCATGATAAAAAAAATCTATGATGCATTGTTTACGATATCACCTTCCCACGTTATTCAAATTGGTAAGCCTATGATGATCCCTTCGTCTCTCTCTCCCATATTAGCGCTGGAAAAGCGGAGCAGACGCGTGAGTGAGAGTATTCACGACGCAATGCCATCGTTGTACTTCATGTTCCAAAACAAAGAAGACGCAGTCACGCAATGCTATCATCGGTTTACAGTTATATATACCATGTCCTCCTCAAACTTCAAGTCCGCCAAACTAACTTCGCTGGAGAATAATGGCATCTGTTTACACCACCCTAACCTACTGGCTCGTGCACCATCCCTACATCGCCAACTTCACGTGGACCGAAGGTGAAACCCTAGGCTCCACCGTCTTCTTTGTCTCCGTCGTCGTTTCTGTTTATCTCTCCGCCACATTCATCCTCCGATACACCGTGGATTCACTCCCCTCACTCGGTCCCCGCATTCTCAAACCAATCACAGCCGTCCACAGCTTTATCCTCTTCCTCCTCTCCTTAACCATGGCCGTTGGTTGCACTCTCTCCCTAATCTCGTCTCAAGATCCGAAGGCCCGTCTCTTCGACGCCGTTTGTTTCCCAGTCGATGTGAAACCTAAGGGACCGCTTTTCTTTTGGGCTCAAGTCTTTTACCTCTCCAAGATCCTCGAGTTCGTAGACACACTTCTCATCATACTCAACAAATCAATCCACCGGCTCTCGTTCCTCCACGTCTACCACCACGCAACGGTTGTGATTTTGTGCTACCTCTGGTTACGAACACGCCAATCGATGTTTCCGGTTAGTCTCGTTACGAACTCGACGGTCCATGTCATTATGTACGGTTACTACTTCCTCTGCGCCGTTGGATCGAGGCCCAAGTGGAAGAAGTTGGTGACGAATGTTCAGATGGGTCAGTTTGTTTTCGGCTTGGGGTTAGGAGCCGTTTGGATGCTCCCGGAGCATTATTTCGGGTCGGGTTGCTGCGGGATTTGGGCAAGTTATTTCAATGGTGTGTTTAGTTCTTCTCTCTTGGCTCTCTTCTACAACTTCCATTCCAAGAACTACAGGAAGACTATAACCTCGAGAAAAAATGATTAAATATTGTCTTGAATATTATATATGTTGTTTGGATCTGTACGTTGATGTGTTGTTACTGTAACATGTTTGGGATAGTATGAAATTGTTTTATGTATTATATATGAATAAGATGACAAAAGATACTAAGATATGTCACATGCATAAATCATCATGATCGTCTGATTCTTGTTATTCCATACATCTTTCTACGATATACGTACAACATTTGCCAATAAACGTTTCTTTAAGAGTTTAACACAGAGATTAATTAATTAGTCTATAAATACACCAAGTTTTAAAATCAATTCCCTCATCTACCTCTGTATAGACAAAGACAACCCCAATTCCCTCGTCTCTCTGACAATGGAGTTGAGACCACGGTTTTAAGAGTCGCCGCTGCTACAATGGACTATACATATAGGCTTCGTAAACCGGGCTAGGACTAGGGCTACGGCGGCGTGGCCAAATTCAATTTTTTGAAGCTGAAACAAAGGTAACTTAATTAGTTTAAGTTAAAAAAGTTAAGTAAATGATTAATTTAATAATCGGGTATTCTTAATTCAAAAAAAAAAAAAACGGGTATTCAAAAATACACATAACAACATTTTCATATCATGGAGACATCCACCAAAGATTCTGTCATTCTGACAAATACCATAGTCAAATAATTTTCAATCTACTACAAATATATTATATTTCCATGATAAATACACTGATAACTGTTAGTGACAATATCACCCTACCACGTCTAATGCAAAATAAAAAAAATAATAACACAAAGCATATTATCCCATTATTAATACGATACTATACCTAAAAAAGATAAAAATATAATTCTCTGGGACCCACCTTTTATGTAAATTAGCCGATTGGGTAAGCGTCTGATCCTCTCTCTCTCTCTCTCCCGTATCTTCAAAATTCAACTCCCCAAACCTTTGCCGGCGATCAATCCACCGGAGGCAATGGCATCAATTTCCTCCACTATAACCTACTGGCTCGTTAACCACCCCTACATCGCCAATTTCACTTGGATCGAAGGTGAAACCTTAGGCTCCACCGTCTTCTTCGTCTCCGTCGCTGTCTCCGTTTACCTCTCCGCCACATTCTTCCTCCGATCCGTCATCGATTCACTCCCCTCACTCAGTCCCCGTATCCTCAAACCAATCACAGCCGTTCACAGCCTAATCCTCTGTCTCCTATCCTTAATCATGGCCGTTGGTTGCACTCTCTCCATAACCTCGTCTCACGCGTCTTCAGATCCGACGGCGCGTTTCCTTCACGCGATTTGTTTCCCCGTCGACGTTAAACCTAACGGACCGCTTTTCTTCTGGGCTCAAGTCTTCTACCTCTCCAAGATCCTCGAGTTCGGAGACACCATCCTCATCACCCTCGGCAAATCAATCCAACGGCTCTCGTTCCTCCACGTCTACCACCACGCGACGGTTGTGGTCATGTGTTATCTCTGGCTCCGAACTCGCCAATCGATGTTTCCGGTTGCGCTCGTGACGAATTCGACGGTACACGTCATCATGTACGGTTACTACTTCCTCTGCGCCGTTGGATCGAGGCCCAAGTGGAAGAGATTGGTGACGGATTGCCAGATTGTGCAGTTTGTTTTCAGTTTCGGATTATCCGGTTGGATGCTCCGAGAGCATTTATTCGGGTCGGGTTGCTCCGGGATTTGGGGATGGTGTTTCAACGCTGCGTTTAATGCTTCTCTGTTGGCTCTCTTTTCCAACTTCCATTCAAAGAATTATGTCAAGAAGACAAGAGAGGTGGTTGGCATAAAAAGCGATTAGATTAGTTTCTTGGACAATAGTTAAAACCTCTCATTGTGTCTTGAATTGTTTTCATTAGTTTCCCCACAAAAGGATTAATTGTCTTGAATTGTTAATTATTTTGAAATTTGGTCTCTGTGTTGTTAATTGAAAATGTTGAGATACTTTGATAGTGTTTTACAAATAAGATGACAGAAAATGTCACAAAAATCATGATATGGCCTCATCATATCATCTCTAAATGCTGTATCTGCCTATCTAGAATTACAGTTTTTCCTAAGTTCTTCATTTGTATTTGTAGTCTAGATTTTTCTGAAGGCAGTAGAAGGTGTTTACATAAACGATAAGAATTCTCAAATACATTACAAACTAAATCTTCATGATACAACAAGAAAATGAGATTAAAAAATTAAAAAATGAAAACAAAGAAACTCCAGCCAACAAATCTGAGAAGACGCATCAGCCGTCTGATTTGGTGGATCCATTTAAGAACCAAAATTTTTGGGATGAGTTGTGATATCTCCGTAGTGACTAGTGAGGTTTTATATCATTCTATGTTTTGGCTTTTAGGGTTCATCAACTACTGGTCTTACTGAAGCCGCTTCCACCTCCGATTCAACAACCCCATTCCCTTGTCTCTCAGACAAGGGCGTAGGAACTGCAGTTTCAAACGCTGCCGCGGCATTCATGTCCAGGTTCACTACAGACTCAACTGGTGGTTTAATATCAAACCCTGAAACACGTGGCGGTCTATCTCGTCTTTCATAAACCGGACTAGGACTACGGCTATAGCTTCTGCTCCGGTTATGACCACCACGGTCACGGCTATGTCTAGGGCTACGACTCCTTGAACGTGACCAGCTCCTGCTACGGCTACGACTATAGCTCCGGCTTCGACTCCGGCTATAGCTCGGGCTACGCCGCCGTGGCCGAACCAAATCAGGACTTCTGCTACGACTTCTACCTCTTCTGTTGTCAAACCGTCCAACACCACGACCAAAGCCTCTACCACCACGACCAAAGCCTCGGCCATCCATATTATTATTGCCAAACCGACCAAATCCGCCTCTACCACCCACATTCATATGACCAGCATCAGGACCACTAAAACCCCGACCACGATTCCCGCCACGTCCAAATGAGTCATCTCTCATTCCAAATCCGCCACTACGGCCACCAAACCCACCCTCACGCCCACCAAATCCGCCCTCACGCCCACCAAACCCGCCCTCACGCCCACCAAACCCACCCTCACGCCCACCAAACCCACCACCGCGCCCACCAAACCCACCAGCAGAATCCCAACGGCTACCATTACCGCCAGAGTCAAACCGGTTTACCATACCTCTTCGATCCTGGCTATAACCAGGACCACCACCACCACCACGCATTGCAATGTCCCTTACTTGAGGCGGTACTTGCTGGTTCGCTCCTTCCAAGACTTTGATCAAATCAGGTGCGTACTTCCAATCTTGCTCGGTAAAGAAAGTGAATGCAACTCCAGTTGCACCAGCTCGACCGGTTCTCCCAATACGGTGGACATAGTCTTCAACTCCAGTTGGAAAATCATAGTTGATCACAACTCTGTAGTAGTATAACACGAACAAAGGTAAGGTAATCTTGATAACAAGAAGCAAAGAGGTATATACCAAGAATTATTACAACAAACCTTATGTCTTTTATATCGAGTCCTCGGGCAGCAACGTCAGTAGCTATCAATACACAAGACTTCCCGCTTCGGAACTGGCTAAGTACCCAATCTCTCTCACCTTGAGTCTTGTCTCCATGGATCACAACAGCGCCAAAATGACGTCCGACACTACGTGCAAGATGGTCACAAAGCCTCTTCGTGGAGCAAAATATTATAACTTTTGAACCTCGTTCTTGCGACCTAAGGATTTGCTCCAAACGTCTCTCTTTCTCCATTTGTGGGACTACTTCAACATACTGCGTTATAAGCATGTGTTTACTTCAGTAACCTCATCACCAAGTTATGTGGAAGGATGCTTAAGAGTGATAGAAAATGATTAAGATGATCATCACCTGCGTTATTGCTTTGTTAGCAGCCAACTCATCTACCCTGCCTATGTTAACTTGGACAGGGTTCACAAGAAGATCGCTTGCAATTTTTCTTACTTCTTTTGGCCAAGTTGCTGTGTACATAAGAGTCTGTCTCCTAGGAGGTATTTCATTCACAATCTTACGGATTTGGGGTTCAAAACCCATGTCAAGCATTCGGTCTGCCTCATCAAGCACAAGAAGGGAAACCTGCTGGAAATCAATCTTCTTCATCTCCAGTATATCATTTAGACGCCCAGGAGTTGCCACCACAATATCAGCTCCTCGTTCCAACTCTTTCAACTGAGGACCCTTTGGAGCTCCACCATACAAACACTGATGACCAGAATTCGTAAACAAAAACATTTAGTATAGGCTTTATCAGCCCTGGTGATAAATGTTAACGAGACTCAAATAAAACTCACAGTGCATGATATCCTGGAAGACCGGCCAAACCTAAGGGCTTCATCTTGTATTTGTGTGGCTAGCTCCCGAGTAGGAGCTAGGATCAAAACTGTGGGCCCATTGCGGGAGTCGTTATGACAGTGCCTTAGAAGAATGAAGGCAGGGATCAAGTATCCCAATGTTTTACCAGAACCAGTTTTTGCAATTGCAACTATATCCCTGCTCTGCAGAGCAATTGGCCATGTTTGAGCCTGGATCGGTGTTGGCGATGGAAATCCAGCAGAAAGCAACTGAAAAACAAAGATACAAACATTAGGACACCATATATATGAAGAACATAAAGTTCCTAATAAAACTTGCCTCTCCAAGTATTTCAGGTGGGAGACCACTAGATTCAAATGTGATGTATGGTGCTGGAATGTTCTCGCCCTGCACAACAAACAATAGATTATTAAAGGCCGTACACAGATTAGATAGAATACATGACAAAAGTGCAAGTTTTAACACTATTCTCAAATGCTATTACTTATTCCAGTTGAAGTTCGTCCAATCCCACATTCTCAGTAGAGTTTTATGGACAAACATTCACTGAAACAACAATTGCAAAATATTACAGCACATTACAGCTTTAAAACATTAAACTGACAAGTTAAGCAAAGCAATCCAAGAAATATGAACTTACAGTTGTTGTGACTTCATGTTGCTTTCGGTATATTTCAACGGTCGAGAGATGGGGAACATCAGGAGATGTGGCAAAATGAGGCCTCACCAAGGATTTATTTGGAAAAGCTGGACCAGCGAGTCCATATGATCCATGTCCTGCTTGCCCCATGGCGGGATCAGCATTTATAGGTGGACCACCACCTATCCTTATATCCTGCAAAGCATTTTACAAATGCTTCTTTTCGTAAGAAGTAATTGTGAAGCAGAAATATTTAACAAGACAGATAGGAGAAATGATCATCTGCAGCTAACCTTAGGCATTGATGCAGGATGAAGTGGTTGGGCACCCCTAACCGGCCCTTCCATTCTCGCGTTAACGTATGAGTCATTCCCAGGTCTAGATTGTAGATTATTCTCATAAGTATTATTTGACTGGAAAGAGGAAGCATGAGACTTCTGGTGCAACATTGTCGGGTCCATTTGATTTGGAGCCCTAGGTCCAAGCTGCTGGTGAATCAGGTTAGACCCTGGCTGTTGAAACTGTGTGACTGCAACATGATGTTGCATGTTTGCTTGAGGTCCATTGAATTTCTGAGCCATAGCCAAGTTTGCATTCGTTCTTTGTGATGCTGCATTGGCTTCAAAGGGGGTATTTTGAGATGGCGAATTTTCAGAATTTGGTAAATGGGGTTGAGGAAACCCAGTTTTCTTACCCCCATGGAACTCATCCCCCTCCCTCTTTGGAACCAATGAGTTGTACTCTTGCTGGCTCGGAAACTGCTGACCTTGGGGACCACCGTGAGGTGTTTGATGTGAATTTTGTAACCCTTGTGGTTGCATGTGAGGCCGATAACCCATGTACTGTTGTTGTGAATGTGCATACTGATGGCTCTGCTGCTGAGGCATATGTGAATGCTGCTGCTGCGTCGTTGGCTGATAAGTCTGTACAGAAGGATGCCCATGCGGCTGCGACACCATCGATTGGCTCTGTTGTTGGGGAAACTGTTGACCTGATTGTTGAGGCATTTGCTGGCCCGGATGCTGCTGCTGCTGCTGCATCATTTGGGGTCTTACATGTTGGGATGGATATTGCTGTGGCTGTTGTTGTAAACCATGCTGCTGAGACACGTGACCAACTGGTTTTGCTTGTTCGTGCTGAGCTTGGTGACCTTGTCCTGAAGAGGGTACAGGAATCTGAGCGAGCTTCGGAGCACCAGCTGGCAATGGTGGAGGAGGCGCAGAAGGTCTTTCATACTGAGTGACATTGGTTTCAGGATTCCAGTAATACAAAATTCCCGTGCTTCCATCAATAAGTCCCTTCCATGGTTGGGGAAGAGTTGGGTCCTCTGGAGCATATCTTGGACCAGCAGAAGCTGCTGTAGCTTCTGTTGTGGCCATAGGCAAAGACTCTGCAAGCAGCGAAAACTCTCATGTTACCATTCAAAAGTTTTGACATAAAGTTATCATCTTCCAGAGACCTAATTCTACATAATTCGACCTAAGCTTTCACACTATCAAAGGCTTTAGCCACATGATTCATCAACGACATAATCAAGCTAGGCTCACGCGCACAGACCATTCAACATAATCTACTTCCACGAGACCATAACACCGAGGAATCCAAAAATTACAACCTCAATCGCAAACTAGAGAAACTATAAAGAAATCAGCGAATAAAGCAACTGAGCCATGGATTCAAGGTGAAGAAACCCGAAGACAGTTTTGCACAAGTAATAGTTGAACATCATAACACAAAAGGATGCAACGATTTAGGGTTTGAGCTAGAGGAGACAAAGAAAGAGACTTACATCGACGACGAAACAGTACCGGAGTCACCTATGCGAACCAGAGTTGAATAAAGACACCGGTGCGAGCCAGAGAGGATCAAGAACGTCGATGGGAACTAACAGGGTCTGGGTTCGGCTTTTGGTAGAAGAAGTGAGGCTGGGGTTCACGAAAGACAAGGAAGTCTGACAAGAGAAGGAAAAACCCACACGACGTCGTAATGAAGAAGCCGAAAACGATGACGTTTGGATGTTATTAAATCGTCAACGTAAAAGACGTCGTCGTGTTGATCTCTTATTTGTTCTTGAGAAATTCTTTTAGATTGGGTTCAGCATAAAATTGCCAATTAAGTAACCGATCCAAATCCAGGACCTTCTTCAACTGTTTTATCGAATATAAACCAATAATGTTATGCTGATTTCGGATCCAAGAAAAGAGACTGTACCGAAATAGTACAAGGTTTTGAATCGAATCAAAACAAATCATAGGAGAGTAACTCACTCTGAGTCTAAAATCAAGAAGCATAATACGAGAAAATAATGTCTGTACATTAGAAGAAACTGGAAAAGCATAAATAATTGAGTAATGTAGATATCCCTCATCTACCATTAATATGTCAAAGCTTTCTTTACTTTGCCTGACATGGAGATGTTCTCAGGGTAAAGGCTCTTGCGAATCTCCAAGGCGAGACAAGTGCAAGTAAGCATCAGTCCCTGCAAATTTCAACAGTACACATAAATCAAAACTGAATCTCTCTTATGAATGTTGATTAAGATATTTCAGGTTAAAAGACTTTTATGGATATGATCTGAATAATATGAAACGGAAGAAGAAGTAGTTGACTCACCATATCCTTCCATGGATATGATCTGCAAATCTCCACCGAAATATCGAGCATACAAGCGACTAATTGGAAGACCATAACCATACCCAGCCATAGTCACCGGAACATCAGCTGTTCCTAAATCGACTTCCTCCTCGAGCGGGTTTCTTGCAGTGCTGTAAAGATAGGTGAATATTTTGGGAAGACCGCTTCTAGCTATACCTCCACCTTCATCTGAGACCTGTTAGATTAACCCACAACAATGATTGGATCAAACCAGTGCAACAAAAAATGAAACGCCTAGCAGAAAGAAGAAGAAAAGCGCATGATAACAACCTTTATTGTAACATCTTCAATTCCATCAGCAACTATAATGCGGATTGGTGGTGCAACTCTATCAGAGTCAACAAATCTCTCTTGGACAGCACGTAGAGAGTTCTTGACTAGCTCATACATCATAAGATGTAAATGCGTTGGAACATACCTATAGAAAGGAGTAGGAAAAAGACATTATTTGCCACATGCGAACAAAAGCTACAGAACGAATCTAAGAAAAAAAGGTGGTCAACTTGAACTCACGGAAAGGTGAAACTGGGATCGCCATATATGTTTATTTCCGGTGCAGAACCATACTCTCGGAAACAGATTGACCGAGCATCTTCACTGGCGTTCCTTGCTACCTCCATAGGAGACATCTTTGTGTGTATGTAACCCACTGTATGAAGTGGTGGATTTGGATTATGCAACTCAACATGCTGCCCTGAGAATTCCATAGTAACCACACAAAAAAAAGTATTAACACAAGAACAGCAAACGAAAACTTTTCAGTCGAGGATCCAAAAAGCAAGTCTTACCAATAAGCATACGGATCCCAATTCGCGACAAGTAGAAACGATCAAGAAACTGATGAATCTCATCAAGATTTCCAGAATTCATTCCTTTCTTGAGCTGATTAACACCTAAAGCCATCATGGGAACCACATTGTTGTGCCTTACTTTAACAGCCTTAATCATCTGAGTGAATTCTTTCTCGTCACCCGAATCCTTAATCTCAGGAAATGCTCTCATGTCCCTGAAAGATTCCAAATACCAATCTCGCACCTACAATACAACATGAAAATGAGAGAACGTTTCAACATAAGACATGATCCACACAAAAAAAAAAACTATTAAAGAGTTTTCGGTGACAGAATTGCCAAATCTGGTTTCATTCCAAAGATTGCACACACCAACAATCTTCTAAGCATTCAATTTCACTGTAGCACCAACAGCTTTAAAAGCCTTTGATTTAAAAGAAACTTAAAAAAATAATCTCACATCTAACTTTTTCATTAAATCTACAATATCCAATTTCATAAAACAATCTAATAAGAACCAACCACCACCATTCAATTCAAATTTCCGCAACCTATTCAAGTCGAATCACAATTTCGATTACCAGAAACGATAAAATTCGAAATCAAACACCGAGAATTCCCAGGAAAAGTACCTTCAAAACGGCAGGTTTCTCAGAGAGACCATAAGGAAGCGTCTGGAGTTCGATCGCTCTCCTGGCGACGCGAATCGGAAGCTCCTTATGCAGAAACTGAGCAGAAATCAAAAGATTCCTCTCAGTAGGTTTAGAACCAAACTCCATCATGTATCTAAGGCTAACACCTGTTTGCTTCATGCAACCCCATTTGTGAACATCTTCGATCAAACTCTTCGGGAACATTTCGCAGGCTTTCTTCACTGCCATAAGCGTCTAAGAGAATACAAACCCTAACGTCGCCCGCCTCCGTCGTTCTCCACCGTTATTATCATCGACTGGACGAAAGAACTGCGAAGATGATTGGACATCCAGAAACAGAGAAGAGGATTGGCTTTGCCTTATGGAGGAATCAGCAAACATGTGCTAATATGGTTATTTTTTGTTTTGGCCGCTAATTTTCTTGGATTAGGATTTTTACTATTTGAGTGATTGTGGAATATATTCTTTTTAGTATTTTACCTGATTGGAACAAAGTTTTTTTTTATTGAGTAAAAGAATAACCACTTATTTTGATGTAAGAAAAAAAATATGTAAAAATCAATTTTTTTTTTTTTGAAAAAGAGGAAATGACAAAAAAGCTTCTATTAACATCTCATTGTATTTTGCTTAGAACTCTAAGGGCATCATCAATGGGGGATCATGTGAGAGTGTTCTTATAGAGAATATAATGTTAAAATAATGTAAGATCATGTGTTTAGATCTTTTGTTTAGAAGTTGATTAGTGGGAGAACATGTGTAAGATCTTAAGACTTAATAATATAATAATCTAAATTAAATTAAGATTTTACAATATTAAAACATTTAAAAATAACATATAAATTGCAAATGCCAAATTTATGAAAAACTGAAAATAAAAGTGAAAATACAATACTAAATATTTATGAAAAAAACATTAAAAATATAAATAACAATAAACAAACAAACATATTACTTAATAAAAGCACAAAAACATTTTATCTAATTAATACATAGTTTATTATCCAAATTTATTCCAAATATGTTGAATATTCCAACCAATGCCCAAATGCCACGTCACCCCGCAACACCCACAAGAACAGATCCAGGTCAAGAGCCCAGTTCCTGATCTTAAGCCCATTAACCCATTTTTTTGGATTTAAATAATGCTTAGATCAGGGGGGGTGATCCCCCAATGCAGATGGTCTAATGGAACGATATGATTGAGAAAAAGATGTGCATAAAAAAATATCTAAACAAGATCTCTTCCCTATCCACAATTCCACTTCCACATGGCTAATAAAGGGCCTAGTGTATAAACAACATGTCGTTCGATCGATATAATGTGCATAAAAAACTACACGCATTTCATTATTTGAAAATGCGGAGGGTTTTGTATCTTAAGGTAGAAAATGAGCACATACCCAAAAGGCTCCTGACCCGTTCTTTTGATATTAGGCCCTAAAGCCCACCCAATATTCCAATCAAGGTTCATTTTATATACTTTCAACTTGTATAATATAAGTTTCTTTATGTCTTTTAGTTTCCATAAAACCAATAAAATCGTAAATTCAAGAAAACAATCTTTATTTTAAGCAGAAATTTAGTAGGAAACATAAATTAGAATTTGTAAAAGTATGCTGTAATAAAGTCTTTTTTGGTGATATTAATATAGGAAGATATATATAGTTCATCCCATGTAATCCACAGTTTTGTAAGGCAAGAGTGTCTTGGATTCTTGGGCCAAACTTATAAGCATGCCTCGATGTAGATTGTAGAGGAGTCACAATTTGAAGTTTAAACAAAAATGGTTTGTATATTTTGGAACAACAAAAGAGTTTGTGTTTGACTTCAATATATCTTACCGACTTCCCCAAATCTCAATGGCTTGCTTTTTCTAAAGCGACGACGTTTGGTATGTCATTGACCTCCATTTATTTTATTCATATTTTGTTACTCTTCTGCATGAGTTTATCTTTGACTTGTTCACTCTATTTTCTATTGTTTTTTTCCCCTCGGTACGAGGTTTTGTTGGCCGATTTCAAATTAATTTTGGTCTCTAATACATCATCTGAATTCCACATTAACGAAGAATGTTCTACAAAATAAGAACCTTAAATAAAAAACCACTAAACTACACTAATTTGGGGCTTAGTTATTATTTACGATTAATGAACACATATGTAGACACAATTTCGTTGGTCTTACGGTATTGAATATGGGCATTGCTTAGGATCAACTTAATCATGCTTGTAAATTTGGTTTCGACTTCGACTACAAAATGTTTCCCATCTCATCTCCCTATTAGTCTATGATATGTATTTTCAGAATAAAAGTGGGTTCTCACTGAAGTTTTACATTCCTACGTTAAATACTCTTGTTTGACAAATACCTTGATGGCTCTATAACTACTTGATGGAAATCGTACATTTTATAGTAATCAAAGAAATGGAATATTTGACTTCACATCAAACAATAGTAAATTAACAACCAAGTAACTATGACCTAGAAACTTGTAGAAAACTTCTATTCAACCATGTCCATATAACTTATTATAATCATCGTGAAAGAGAGTTAAAGGGATTTAGTTAGACTAGCCACTTACTTATGAACAATTAAATAATGTAAAGTATGTTTATTTTTATGGACTTAATTTGGATCAAAGCTTCCGTTGTTGACTCGTCAATAAAGAAAGAGAAGAGACTACAAAACGCACGAGTGGGTTGTGATTAACTCGTATAGCTCTTTGACTTATTGACCGGAGGACACGTCAAATAATTAATACTTTATATCGAATCGAGTTACAAGTCAAAATCTATCAAAAAATCTTTTAGATCCGATATGGA